TTATTATGATACCCATACCTACATGGTTATTCGCTGTTGATAATAGCATACATAGCATAACATAGTGTCAAATTACGGATACAATTAAATAAACGTATTATGTACCTAGTGCTACATGCAGACACAAGGCAAAACGTGAAACCAGTGTTTATTTCAAGGGGGTAACCGGAGGGGATAATAACACCTCCCTCAAAGAAAAATATATATTCCTGAAGAAATTTATTTATTTATTTAACCATTTAATCCTATGGAATACCACATATCACAAACACCCCACCCCGATAATTTACGATCCCCCTCGTCCGATAGATCAAGGGTCGACAACCTTTTAAACCACGCGAGCCATATCTATTATTTTTTCAAATGTTTATCAAGGGCCACATTAAAAAAAAAAAATTACATATGATATTTACTAATAATTGTATTGCTATTATATTTGATTATTTTACATAGAAATATGAATGTAAAAAATATGAATGTTACTGGAAAAAACTGCTTTTAAGAAAAAATTTAATTTTTTGACTAATCAAACATAATGGCTTACCTTTGTTTTTAACGAAAAAGTATAAATCAACCCAAGAATTATTAAAAAAACGATGCTCATCACAAATTTTTCTTTTTTTAGTCGCCATAATGTTTGGATTTACTTGTAAAATGAAACTATTACAAACGCAAACAGTCACATGTACGGGCGTAATCACGGTGTAATACTAATTTCTACAAACGCAAAGTAACTATGACCATAGATTAAATATATTAGATACATATGTATTAAATACATAGATTAAATATATTTAAAATTTTAATTTTTAAATATATATAAGTATTAAATATTTAATATATATTATAGTATATTCCCTATAGTTGTATAGTCAGTTTAGACTATACAACTATATAGAATAAACATCAACTATTAACGATTAGATTACATTTTATTTATAAATAAAAAAGAATTGAATAGTATTGAAAATTATATGAAAAATTTTATTGTACAAAAATAAAACACAAAAATTAACCACTTTTTTGCAGGCCATGAAAAATTATTCGCGAGCCGCGGGTTGCCGACCCCTGCGATAGATAGTCTGAAATAAACACTGAGCGAAACAAAATCACGAAACAATAAGAAAAAAAAATTAAAAAATTATGAAAGAAACGATGTGACTAATTAACTCGAACTATATAATACACTAAATCTAGTATAAGTAAGTATAATACAAAACGGAAAATGTAATACGTCCGTTTGTATACAGTTACGCGCGAACGCTCGCGAATAGGTAACGTTCGAACAAAAGCTTTTACCGTCGAAACCAGATACCACCGCAAATTCATGGTAAAATAATGCACTTACAATTATTGGCTACGGTCATTATTCGATTTTACCGAATTTCTTAAAGCTGTCTAATTAAATACGCTTATTACACAGTATACACGTGCGCACAAACACAAACAAGCAAACACACAGAAAATATTGTATTCTATTATTATTGTTTTTGTAACCGAAATACGTGTGAGCACAGTGCGCTGAGTCACGAAAACTTGAATCGGAAAAAAAATTAGAAATAGGGGGATACTCCTAGGTCGAATGAGACTCCACGATCGAGGGTGTTTGAATGATATTGGTGAATCGGTTATTTAAATTTTAAACCCATATTCCACTACTCTCGAAAACCCGATTCCAAGTGAAAGAGGTCGTATGAATCAGTTCATAAGTATGAAAATGTTTGATATGGTAGAAGAACCCCGAGTAAAGGTTAAACTTTTAACTTTCTAACTTTTCAAAAAAAATTATGAGAATCAAAAATGTCAAATGTCTTTAAATAGCACAAGCTTTGTTGAAACAATTCGAAACCATGAAATACCTCTAACTAAATAACATATCTTTTAATGGACATTCATTAAAATATCCGATTTTGTCATCATTTAATTTTTGCAACATTTTCACCCCCACAGAGTCTCGTACCGGCCTAGAAGTCTCAATCTTTTTTTTATGGCTGCGAAAAAAATCTTATGAAAAATCTTGTCTAGTTTTCAACAAAAAACTATAAAACTATGAATGTTTAACTACAAAATGTAGTAATTTGGTTAAATGGTTAGGTTAAGTTATTTAAATGAATTTAAATGATTTTTATAATTTAGACAAACAATCGTACATTTTTGTTTTTTAAATTAAGTTAAATAATTTTTGTTTTATTAGTAAAAAATAGGTATGAGAAACTTGGTATTAAATTTTAAATGTAAGAAAAGATAACATTATCAATGACCTATAAATAGCTTTCAAAAATACCTTTTGAAAATTATTCCATCTTAAATGAACGGTAATATATGCATTCTGTGAACATTTCAAGTTGCTCTTGTTATTTTTTAAATCACGATAAAAACAATTCAATTCTGTTTAAAACTGTTATACCGTTAATTATTATAAATCTTTAAATCTTCAACAGTTTTTTGCAATTATTTTACAAAATATTGTGAAATTTAAAAAAATTTCTTTCCTCCCCCCATACACCAACTTCAATCTATTTCCTACCTTTTACTTTTTATTGGATAATGATCAAACTGGTCGAAATCGTGTGGAAAAAAAACGTCCGTCATGATAACCAATATATTCCTCGTTTCACTCAGAGAATAAAATGTAAGATAAAAATTGAGTCTTTGACAACACTCAAATAATGCTGAAATATCATAAAATGCATTACTTACCTGATCGACACAATCTATTACCCACATCTGAAACCACCCGTAACGAACCGAGAGGTATTTGTTCGAACTTCATGTATAATCTCTATATTAATATTTTGAACTTGTTTTATATGAGTCGGTGGGAGGGAGTGGAATAACTTCAAAAACGTATTTTCCTAGTGTGGTATTAATAATAAATAACAAAAAATTAAAGAAAAAATAGAAGCCATGGCCCCCCCAATGAGCGACTACCCCATTGGCCCTGCCACCTACGACGTCTCTGGTCGACGTAAAAAACAGTGCTGAAAAAAAAACAATTCTTCGCGACGTGAATTAACCTGTCCATAATGATTTAAATACAAATAACCAACAACTTGTTACAATTAACATGGTTACCAACACTTATACGACCATACTTTTGTCATTTAACGTCTGAGTCTATAACGTTAATTTACAATGTCTTTGTTTTTTCACTAGTAAACTATTAGGAAAAAATACAGGAACCATTATCAGGAGTCAGATTCATACAAAGGACGAAAAAACAAACAAAAACCTTTCTATTAAATGTCCTTCTATTTTGATTTATAGTTCAAATTAATAAATTACAAATAACAAAGACAACAATGATTCATTCAGTTTTATAAATATTTTAATTAACAATATCTTTTATATTTTTATGTATTTATGTGTACCTATATATACACACACATAAGCATGATAATTAAGCATTTTAAATTTATTCAACCGATTACAGTGATCTTAAATCTAAGACACAAACAACTGAATTCAAAAAACTTAAAAACAGATCTAACAATTTTAATTTAGTTGATCGATTTATTACACAATAATATACTTGAATTCTACCATACAATAAATAAAACCCTCAACAATAGATTGTGGTCTGATAATAATGACAATACTGTTAAGCCAATACATTATTTAACCAAATTAAATGTAAAAGGCTTGATTCTATTAATACATTTAAGGAAGAATTAATTATTAATAAATAAGGAAAAAACTGAGATCAAATACATTATTCATCAAGGTATAGATATGAAATTGTAAAAAAATATATATACCATTGTATGATAATTTACATGCTAAAGAATAAGCTAAAAAAAAATATTTAATTATTTCTTCCCAATTATCTAATAATGGGCTGAAACATAATGTAACACGTTAAAATATTGCTCTCATTGAGTTTAACTATAAGCATACAGGTAAAATTATTATAATAGTATATCTGTAATATCCATAATGATGCTAACTAAAATACTATAAATAAATGGAGAAAACTGGAAGAAATAATTAAATATTATTAAAAATAATATGTATTTCGAATTGCTCCATTTTATATGTGAATAATAGTTACCATAACTTTACCATAAAATAGTAAGCTTAATAATTATTACCTCAAATATATATTAAATATAAAAAGATAATAGCATTACGATTAGTTTTTTACAGTTTAAGTTTAAAACCACTTAAGATAAGCTAATTTTTTTTTATTTAGTATAAAATTCTTTGCACTTGCTAAAATGAAATTATATTTAACTTATATGATTATTTAAGCCTAAATTTAAAGCACCATTTTATAATAATTTAGACCTAAAAACTAGATTTTTAAAAATTATAACACAAAATCTAAAATATATATAAAAATGTCTACATTTAACAAATTAAAATATTTATTTGTAAAATACTAAAAAACTTTTAAAAAAAAAAAACCTAAAAACAAAACAAATACAATAATAATAAAAATAAAATAATAACTCATTAAATTCTAAAATATTAAGTGTGATGAATAAATATTTACTATTTGCAAAAAAATCCTTTAAATTTACAAAGATAAAAAAATAAATATGTCAAATTGTTTTAAAAATTAGTTTATATTTTAGTGCTATGCTGTTGTTTGGTATGGTTGCAGGTATAATTAATTAAAATTAAAATCAAGAAATATGGTAAACTTGTTATAAATTTACTCTTTTAAATATATTGTAATAAAAGCAAATTGAGAAAAAAAAGAAAAAAATATATTGTACCTGCTGCCATATTTAACAAGTTGGATTACGTATGTGTGTATAAAAACATTGATGGAATTTTTTTTTAAAAAAAAAGGGGGTATCCAAAAGTTAAAAATAAAACTATAGTACATGAAAAATGAGAAAATGTACATTTACATAATACAAAGTAATAAAATAAATAGATAATAATACTTGTTTCTAAATAATCACATTTTAAGTGATTATTCATATAAAAAGTGAGGTTAACATAAGTTAAATTAATAAATAAAACAATCAAATAATAATACTTATAAATAAATAAGGTACAAATACATTATGAGTATACATAGTACATACATAGTCAAAATTCAACATCAAGAAATTTATTTTCTTTTGCTGAAATACTATCAAAATTATTTTAAGATCATCTTTTTCGACGACAATGTCTTTTGTGCTCACTACTCCAATGAACCAACTGGCATTTAGGACTACAATATGCTGTATTCCAACAACAATGGTAGATAGCTTCACTTTCACAATTCACACACTAAAAATTATTTAATAATATTAACTTAATTATGAAAAATAAAATATGTCTACATTTTAGATTTATTGTTGATTAAAATTAAATTTATTAATAGAAATTACAGCTTCAGATATTTATTAATAGTAAATTTATTGAATGAATCATTTAACAAAAATGAAAAAAACCAAATATTATCTATTGCGCAAATTATTATTGACTTTATTACGTGTTTACCTATTACATATAAACGCAATCAATATTTATAATTATCATAATAGTTTATTAACATGCATTTATAAGTATTGATTACTTCTTAATATTTTAGCATATAATTTATAATATGAACTTATTAATGATGCATTCTAAATAGATAACAGCAGATAACTTGTGTCTGAACAGTATGGACGCAAGTTACATGGTAAATATTACCAGAAGTAAATTGCGTCCAAGAAATTATGACGTAATTTACCTAATGTATTTATCGATGTGTTGATTCTGATATGATAATTTTATATAAATTGTATTTAAGAATTATTAAAAAAATGTTTACAATTTTTAATAAATTCACAAATTGTAGAGCTATGTGTAGATACTACAAAAATAAAACACAAGTTTACTGTCATATTATCTAAAAATTGTGAAATAAATCAACATAAGGAAAAAATTAATAATATACATTGTTATAAATAACATATTATTAATTTCTGTGTTGTTAAATTTCGAAATTTGATTTAATTATTTTTTTTTTTTTTTTTTAATCAAACTGTTCATAAGAATTTATGTATAAATTTAAAATTCTTTAAGTACTTTTTATGAACACAAAAATAATAGGATGAGTGACAAAATAAAGAATTAAATTTTGAATGAATTGATTTACATTAATGGTCATTAGCATCAATACCTTTTTGACTATTGCACTTAATTTCTATAATTCCAATATTCTCAATCATTATAATCAAATTTGACATTTTGGACGCAAATAAACCGTCAATAAATACAATAAGTAAACTGAGTCCAAACGTATGGGACAGAACTTACCTACCGTAATATTGCAATTCTTATAAATAATCTTACGGAACCCAAGTAATGTGCAGTTCTTACAAGAATATAATATAACATACTTTAATCGGACAAAATATATTGAACAATTCTAAATAAAATGTTTAATATAAATAACCCATGATTATAACTAATTTAAATTTATGAAAGTTAAGAATAATTACCCATTGTTTTTTTTTCACTTCTGACAAAGCAATATTGTGGTTTTCTTGCAGTAAAGCTATCTCCTCTTTATGCTGTTCAATTAACAGTTCAAGGGCTTTACGTTTCTCATTTTCCATTTCAGCACGAATCTAAAACAAATCTCAGTACTATAATTAATCCATCAAATCAATAAATTGAAAAACCAACCTTGTTTATATAACTTTTAGGTGGTTTCTTGCTTATTGGTTTAGTCTGTACTTTAACAGAACGTACTAAATCCTGGCATGAAGAACTAACTGTTTCATCTTCAACAACATCAGGATCTTTTAACCTCTCAGTTGTAGAAGTTATATTTTCATCTACTTCACTTTCTTTAACTGGAGATTTTATTTTCAATGAGGATGTATTTTTTGTTGCCTTTAATCCTTCAGGAGCATTATTTTCTTTTGGACTTTTAACTTTTGTTTTTAAGGGTTTAATAGGAGTTTTATCTGCAATTACAGGTTCAACCACTTTTCTAGGTCTACCTCTAGGTCTTTTTTCAACAGTGATATCAGGACTTGTTTTTTTAATCGACAAATGTTTCTTCACTACTTTTTTTGGAGGGCTGCTTTTTTTTTCTAAAGATGATGGTCTACCACGCTTTCTTTTAACAGGTTCTTCTTCTGAACACTCCTTTTCTTCTTCTTTTAATTCTAATTCTTCATTATCAGTTTCGGATTTTGTCTCAGCTTTTATAGAAACTACATCATCTTTATCTTTACTTTTTTCATTGCATTTTTTTACAGATACATTTTCAACTTTAGATTCTTCTTCATCTTCTGAAGACGAAGATGATGATGATGATGATGATTGTGCTGTAATACCAAATATAACTTTATCCAGTTGTAATTGATGTCGACGTAATTCTTCACAAGCCTTGTTCCACTGAGAAGTACGACCTTGAGACTAAAAAAATTTACAGTATAATTTTCCAACCCTAACTTACATTTTTTTACTCTTTAATATGTTGTTAAATTTACAACATACTATATAATATGACATTTTATGGATATTAACCTGCAAGGTATGAATGTTCACTGATATAGGCCGTATTTGTGACTTGTCAATTAATCCAAGCTGGTGTTCACCTCCGAAAAATCTTACTTCATATACATCATTTTCAATTTTTAAAACCTAAAATATCAGTTTTAAAATGTATTGAATAAAATTTCTTTATCAATTAATATATTACTTTTGCTGGCCAATATGGAAAATCTTCTTGTTTAGCATACACTAACTCATGAGGTGGTTTACATGGCTTACAAAACCAAAATTTAGAATTTTTTTGTATAGAATACTTGTAACAATAACGACACCTCATTATCTCTTCTAAATCTTTATTGCAATCTCTTAACATCAATCGGCCATAATCAGCTAAGCTACTATGAACTAGAATTCAATAAATTGACAAGTGTATTAAATTCATATAATTTTTATTAAATTATAGAAGACAAAATAAGCATAAACTAAATATTATACCTCCATGAAAAATAATAATATTATGAACAAAAGTCAAGATGTCAGCTCGGAACTCTTCCACATTTTTATAATCATCATTATCAGCTTTGTCTTCAATCATTTGAAGATCTATAACTCTAAAATTCAAAGAAAAATATTTAATATATATTTTTAAATTAAATTATAAAAAATTAAATTACTTAAAAATAAGAAGATCTACCCTCCATGGATCTTTGTCTTTTAATGCTGACTTCATATTAAAATGTAAATCGCTTCCTTTGAGTTGACTCTGAAACTGCAGTCTATCTGACACATATGTTGAAGGAGCTGTAGTAGCAATTTTACGCTCAGACCATGGTATAGGTATCTAATTAATCACAATAACAAATTTATTAATAATAAGAAAATGTAAGGTTATAAAATGCAATTTTAAATTAAATTTAAAATAATAACTTTTTCTCTTAATCGTCCAGTAGTATGATACAGAAGTCTATTCAGTTGACTTTTTTTAATTTTTTTAGAAACTTCTTTCGTAGATAAACAATTCTAAAAATATAAGTGTAATAAATTAATACAATTAAAAAGAATATATTAGTTAAAAATAACTAACTTTACATATATTACAAATGAACTTATGTTTCACATCATTTTCTGGTAAATCCTCTTTTTCAATACAAGAAAGATGGTAAACTCGATAACATGAAGTACAACTAATAACATCCCCAGCACTATGGCACTGAAAACAGTACCAATCATGGCTATCTTTGTCAGCCTAAAATAAAGAATAGTTAATAACTAATCAGTTTTAATGTAATAAGGTGAATTAACAAACTTTTTCTTCAGGTAGTTTATATCCTTCGGTTTCAACTCCTGCTTTTGAACCTTTATTACCAACTCTTTTTGTCAAAATCAATAAACCATCACGTACACAATAGTTTAATTGCCGTCCAACTTCCTCTATAAAACACAAAACATAGTTTTAAAAAAATTTTATTTTTTAATTTAACACTATAAGTTTACCTGGAGACATATTATGAACTTTAGTCATGTATTTGGTAATTCGATCAATATCTGGTACCTGCCTTTGAAAACGTATCACTTTCACCGCATCCCACAGCTGTTGAACAGCCAATGGGCAAGATATGCGGCGACGGCTCATTGCCATAAATAATCTATCACCCATGTCAATTAGTACACCAGTTATTGACAAAATAAAAAATGTGTATACTTTTTATTCATTTTAAAATGATGCAATTTATGCAATACTTGTCAAATTTATGATTATTATTCTAATAACACGATCTGTTCATGAAAATCCAATCTGAAAATAAAATAAGAATTTATTATTATAAAATTAAATCTACTTTTTAATAATCTCAATCATTAGATAAATATGTTATTGTTATTTTCATTTATTTCTTCAAAAAAAAAAAGTAATGAAACCCACTAAACAAATTTGTATAAGGGCCTACTTATGAATATTATAATTTCAGATATTATTTTCAATTTCAATAAAAAAAAACTTTAAAAGTAATTATATATTTACTTGGTATTACAATTGGATATAGTATTTATTGAAAATATTAAATAAAAATTTATCATTAAACATAAAAAGTTATTATTAGTTAAGAATTTAAATAATTATAGGTATTGCTGATCAATTTTTGAATTCACAATTTGAATAAATAAAATTAAGAATAATTTTATCTTCAATTAATAAATAATTTAATTTAATATATAACTATAAAAGTAAACATTCTAATAGTTAAAATCCAAGACATTTACTGAGTACAGTACAGTTAACAAGTAAATATAAAATTGTACAGATAAAACAACAGGTTAGTTTAAATTAGCTATAGATGAATTTATATCAAATAAAAAGTTATTATAATAACAAGTTCAGATATATTTTATAAATTAAATCTTGGTAGGAACAAAGAATAATAAAAAAGATAATACACTTAACATACATTTAAGTTTAAGTAATTACAAACAGTAGATTATTTTCAATATTTTGAAATATATATTTAAAAAAAATAATATACCTACTAAAATAGATACTAAATATATATACAATATAAATTATAAAACCCTATAAAATCACATGAAAACAATAAATATCCATTTTATGAAAGATAAAATGAACTTAAGTTTTCTGCATGGATATTGAAGGTATCTCTTATACAGATTTAGAAACAAACCATGTTCTATAATATATCATATCATATTCTATTGTTATAGTGAAAATATAAAACATAGAAATATAAGTTAAGTAGTAATTTATTTTTTATGCTAGGTAAAATTATTTAATATAATAAAAAAAAAAATAGTTTACTTACACTGAAAATTACTTATTTGTAAATTTTCTATAATGTTTATTTAATTATTGTGTAAAACTGTGAGTACAATACTAAATATCTTTACATAGAAGCATTATATTTAAATAAGAAATTGTGCCAACATTTAAAAATTTCAAATTATACACAAAAAACTGCTTATAGGTGAAAACCTATAATTTTCATTATCCTTTTACTTAAATTAAAAAAAATTACCAAAGTTTTTTTTTTGATTTTAAATTATTTTCTTAGAAAAAAAATATACCCAGGTTACAGACAATGATTTAATCATTATGATCATACTAAATTATATTGATATTTAATGTGATTTGATTCATGATATAAAAATGTAATAATTTATGATAAAAAAAAATAAATATGACAAATTAGTTTTATATTAAATAAGTATTCTTTTTTATTTTGTTTACAACATAAGTAAGATTAAATAATTGATTCTTTAAAATTCTTATAACAATGCACTTTTTACAGATTATTCCTAAAAATTAATTTATAGAATAAGCTTTGAGATAATAACTCATATATAATAAGAGTTATAAAACTTTGAAAATATTTTTTGAGTTCATATTAGGCCAGGTTAAAATTTTAAATGAAACTTTATATTGTTATTATATATTATAGAAAATATAAATAATTGAATGAAAACATTTTTGGGTAAAAAAGAAAAATGTATGTATTTAAATAGTTTACAAAAATTATTATTCTATTAAATATGTTGATTTCCAGTTGTAAAATAGAATAACATAAAAAACACCAGATGTTAAAAACGATTGTATTAAATAAATGATAGCAGAATATATTTCAAACTTGAGTTACGGTTTCTATGTATGCGAGTTCTAACAAACATTTATTCTAGTGAGTACGTATGAAATCCTCGTCAGAACAAAGTGGTTACACTGTGCACATTTTAAGATATTCTGAAAATAAGTTTCTGCCACCCAGCAAAGATGGATGATCTTGATGAATTGTAGTTTCTTGAAAGTCCGTTAATGTGAAAAAAGTTAAAGTTAAAATTAAAGCAATTGCTATTAAATGGTAGGAAATAAGACCAAGTCAATAAGTTATTTTCTAGAAGATAAGACAAAGTAGAATTTAAAATGTTAATATTAATGTCCCACTAACACCGGTTCTCATACACGAGACTGATTAATTTATCAGAATCCATGGTTCAAATATTAAAATGATATAATTAAATCACGTTAAAACAGATGCAGTTAGCACTTAAAAATAAAACTTGTTTCAACGCTCAACTGATTCTAACATCATGTATGTTCTGATATTATCGTTGTTGCAAGTGTACACACTCACAATGAAAACCATTTATTTAAACAAATTTGTCAGAACTCGTCAAAAAAATTTTAGTCAGAACCTGCATATTTAGAAACCGTAGCTTTAGGTGGAACTTATTTCAATTCAACAAAAACATACAGGAACTGACCACCATAAACTGATGGTATTTAACAGCACAATGTTATATCTGAACTACGATTATTCGTTCATCAGTTCATATTCAACGCAAACGTCGTTCAAACACCATCAATGGAGGAGGGGAAACTCGAAAATAAAAGAGACTTGCTGTCGATTATGAGCCCACACATATCGTCGAATCAGTTGGACATTTTAGGGACATTAAGACGGGAACGCACTTGACCCATAAATAAATGTATATAAAAGTACGCAAATGACGATAGTTATGCATACAATTTGGGATTATAAGTGAAAAGTGACCGAGTGGGAAAACGTTACATTTTTCTGTGGTCTTCGTTGTCAGTCAACTTGCCTCGGCGGGTCACGGCGTCTCTAGTCGTCCGCGGCTTCAGCGATGACGAACAACACATAGCAATGACGATCTCGGCGAACGATCGGTGGCCACGGGGCCGTTGGTCCTGCCAAATTCGCGGTGGCAAGCACTCAATTCAAAATACGGCACGGCCACGGAAATCATTAGCGCAAAAATCCAACAGTGATTAATAACGTTGTTTACAAACACAAAACGAAAATGAAAGGGAAATGGAAGGGGGTTCGGATATTGGTGCGCACCTCCGCGTTACCCGCCCATCTTCAGTTGACGGTCGCGCAGCAGTGTTGCCAACGCGAGACCACCGCCGTCGTCCGAGTCGAGAATACAGTGATTTATATATAATATGAAATTATAAAATTTATATAATATAGCCGTAATTACTTTTAATTTTTATTTTTTATTTTTATAAGTATTATTGTACACGTTTGAAAATTGTGAGTATCGTCTCGCGGACGAATAATAGTTATGAACCATAGTTATCATTTACTATCACGTTCGTACCGTCGTTGATTGAAGTAAAATCAAAATATTCTCAAACTGGGTCAAACATCTTGGATTGTTTTGACTAAAACATCACGTGACATCACGACAAAAAACGTTTCACGGTCGAAAAATAAACATAAATAAAATCATCAAAAAATATCAATTGACATTAAATTCATCTTGATTGATAGCTATTAGCGGGTGATAAAATTATTATAGCACTCGAAACGGCTAGTGCAATACCATTGACTATAAAATAAATTATTGTTTATTCTACAATCAATTGTAATACCTACTCTTAAATAATAGATCAGTAGTCCCCAACCTTTTTAAGACTATTTCTGTGCTATTACCCATAAATCGGGTTAGATATTAGCGTATACCTATGTCCACAAAAAAGCGCGTGTCAGGGCTAACAAACCGGTGCAACACGATTGCGCCCCGATCCCTTTTTACCTGATAAAATCATAACACCATTGCGCACCAAATTATATGTGTATATACTATGTATAATAATTTATTTACAACATAAAATAATGTATACAATACATTTATATATATATATATACCTAACGCTGAATAGTCATTATTTAACTACTTAACTAACTACTTATAAAATAATGAAAATCATCAAATTAATATTATATGGAAAACAATATTGTTCACTTAAAATAATTTCTTATATATTCTGTATTCATTGTGATACGTACAATGTAATTTTCATTTTTTTTTTTTTTTTTTGTGTAACATTTTAATGATTAACTGTCATTAAATATTGTACATTATATATAAATACTGCTTAATGGTACACTACATTACTACAATAAACATTTAACACCTAGGTACCTGTTGATAATAATGATTATAATCAGGGACATATTTAAGGATTGAGCCCATGGGGCCTGTGTCCGGAGGGGACAACTAACCGAGGAAGTGAATGGGGGGAGGCATTCATCGTATTTTATACTTTATTTATTATTGTAGGCACTCTTATTTTTCACGCACGGGTACACGGTGAAATACTCAATATATCATATGATACCATCGATTAAACGGATTAGCATTGCTTAATATACACCCTGAAATAATTATAAAACCTGAAGAAGTAGTTGATGCATATGCCAATAAACACCCCAGACGTCTTTAGTAATTGTAATTACAAAAATTATATTTAAAAATATGTTTTATTATAAATTTGTATAATAAAATGTTATGTTTCTATCAAACACTTGTATTTTGATTATTTGTTTATGAATAACGACAGTTTTTTGAAATGGAAAAGTTTTAACCATGTACCCCCTCCCCACAAGACATTTCTAAATACGCTCCTGATTGTAATTTAGTCTTCATAGATATTATTAGAATACAAAATATTAACCAAAAAATAACATTTTTTGAAAATATCTTTTTTTTATCTATTATATTAATAACTTAATATAATACTCTAAACTAACCCTATTCTCAACACTGCTACGTATTATACAGTACCTATATATTATTATACTATTCTATGTTGTGACATTTAGATATTATGTAGTCTATTGATGTCTGACGATTACAAAATAACAATTTAATTCTTCGTGTAAACAAAAAAGTACCCACCTAATTATTAACCATCCACCCCTAAAATTTTGATGGAACGGCCGCTCCTTAAAAACATTGTCAACACACCACTGCTCACGTGCATACACAATGAACCGTATTGCATTTTTTGCTGTACTACCAAAGTATTTGGTGGTTTGATTGGATCATACAAAATGTCTAGATTATTTAAATTATTTAATAATCTAAATCAAAAATGAATTACACAAGTGTCTACTAATAATAAGTAATACTCGTATTATGTACACAATCTAATATTAGATTTATGTTTTCAGCGCCAAGAGTTAGAACTAACCTTTGAGGTTCAATAGTTGTTATATACGAACTTGTATTTTATCTTTTTTAATCTTTAATATATCTTTATAAAATTAAAAATGTACAGTAACTTTTTCAAACTAAAAAAAATTTAAATAAGATTGACAATTTCAAAAACGTCAATTTTCAACTAGGACTATATTTAGGATTACATATTTTCTTCTGATAAAAAGTAATATGTTTTTATAGCAAAAGAATTTAATTCAATACCAATTACACATCATGTACACAGTAATTATTGATCGACAAATTTGACCATGTTATCAAGTTTAATATTTTTTTTTCTTACCTATGACTTTTTTTTTGAAATACAACACTGTAATTAACTAAAAATGTAATTTTAAACATCCATTATTTGTTATATTTATATTTCTAGAAAAATGTATATTAGAATAATATAATGAACTATTATTTTTGAATGACGATGAATAACCTGTTTTAAAGAATGACTGATGGTACATTTTTTTTACAAACACTCGCTTAATACTAGTGTGGGGGATTTGGTAAAAACCTGCACACGACGTCCCCTGCATAGCGCTATTTCTAAATTAGAATTTATTAGTAACTAATTTTAGCACCCCTCGACGGATCTCAGTCTTTTCTAAATAGTTTTGACTATAAATGCCTATGTCAACCATGCCAAGGAACCTAAAACAATCATTTTCAGGATCAGCCCTCATAACAACTTCAATAAATATCGAAGGATTCTCAAACACTAAAAGCGAAATCTTACAAAAAAATATGTCAAAAAAATGCGTGTGACATAATATGCGTCCAAAAGACACACCGAGACAAGAATAACATCCGTCCACATATCAGGGGAATGAAGTTGGCAATAGAGAAATCACATAAGAAATACGGCATTACGATAATTATAAGAGAAAATCTAAATTTCAAAGATCCTTATGCTGCGAATGTGGTAAAACACAGACTATGGGCCATCTACTAAAATTCCCTTTAATAGAAATCACTTGTGATAAAAATTACTTACTTATATCTGGCAAATGATAAAGCGGCAGTAGTCGTGGCTTTTTGGATGACCGAGATCTTAACGACACGAAAGATAAAATACTAGTGTAAGTCCGCAGAGGGGGCCCTTAAAAAAAGTGAACCAAAGATTATTGCACTAAAGACTACTAGTATAATTAAATATTTTAAATTTTATAAATTATTTATTAATTCAATATGCAAATATAAAAATAAATACTATTTAAACTTACAAAATTTATATCTAAGAAATCCTTATTTACATATTATTATACTATTTACAACTCCATACTTCTGTCCACGGGAGTAAGGCTTTTGAATGTATCAATTACATCTTCAATTTTTATATTATATACAAGTTCTGATTAGTCTGATTACTAACTAATAACTTTATTCACAGATATCAATTATATACTATAAGATTAAAACTGGTTTTACTTTATTCATGTAAAATGTAAAAATTTTCGGTATCTTGTAAAATATAGATATACATTTATAAAAGAAAAAACCAGAGTCTGCAGGGGGGGCCACGGCCCATCCGGCCACCCCCGTGCGCACACCTATGATTATATATCAATGGTGTAGCATGGTTTTAGCTTGTCGTATGCGTTGATATAGTAAGTTAATTAAATCGTGGTGGGCTACGTTCTCCTCACCCCCTATACTATTTTTAAAATTTTACTTTAAACATACAAAGTCTTACGTATTTATTAATATATATTATATTACCTAGTACATAAAAATATAACATTATTAGTAGGTACATAAAAAAAATTATTTTTTCAATTAGTGAAGTGTATCAGTCGCGTCATTAGGAGGAGGGGTGAAAGGTGGGTATTTGCACCTGTCTGATTAAAAACCATCCCAAAGGGCCGGTCGTTATCATTTAGTTATAAGCCGTTTTTTGTGAAAAATCAAACGTATTTTTTTTCATTTTGAAAATACTGCATACTAAATAATTATTAATTGCCACAATATTTGGTAATTGCCAATTGGTATAAACTATAAATAGACACATGAGCATTTTACAAGAATATTAGATTTTTGAATAAACTTAAGAATAATATAATAATAGCAGCCACTGTCTTGAACCAATTATTCACATAACAAATAAGATAAACAATGAGCAAACGGATCGTAGGAATAAAAAGTGTTCGATCTTACGCCTTTTGATTTTGACGGGTAGGCAACTAATTGTTGTCATACTTTTAGTTAAATAGGTAACCTTACATATATCATAATAAACCACTTCATCTAAGACTTATTATATCTTCGGTTTTACTATTATGATTTATTTTATAATATTTTTAATATCAAATTATAAAAAATTTACATAATTAATTAATTCATTTTTTGTATTTTAATATCTTTACAAATAATTAAAAATCAATACAATCCTAATTTCATATTCAATCTCTTTATAAACGTATGGTTCCTTCACCAGACATAGTTTTTTTTGCAGATACGAAATTATCATACTTTTATCTCATTGCTATCTTTGTTTTTTGTTAGTTAATTAAGTAAAAGGTGTTAGCAATATTTGCAAAATTATTAATTAAATATCTTTAATTGTTAGTTGAGCCAATAAATTGAGGTATATTTTTTACTTTATGTAGATTTGGAAATTGTTTTAGAGTATCTTAATGTTTTTCTTTTAGTCTAATCTTATTATTTGAAACTTTATGCCCTAATAAATTACATATTGATCAAATACATTTGTTTGATTTTAATTAAAATACCGCCACTCCTAATTTACTAAATACTTCTTCAAATTAAAGCTGGACAAACAGATAATTCAGATAATTTAAATTCATCGACTTTAGATACAATTATTTCGATTTATAAAAGACAAAACCTTTTTTTTAAATCATAAAATATAAACACAAATTAATACATTTTTATTATAAATGATAATATATATTCTCATGCACCTATAATACACAAAGTTCCAAAAATGGTCTAATAAAAAAAATACCAGTTTGGTGAAGAGAAATATTATACAATCGTATAGTTGCACGTAATCGTACAAAAACATTGAAGAAAAATCTACAAACAAATGTTTTTAGAATAAGTTAAAAAATTAGGGAACATTTAAATCGAGAAATAACTTTTTAATCATTTAAAATACATATACTGACGACCATTAACCGTGCATGCTTTAACTTATCGCTTGACAAGCTGGATATCCGCTGCTTCGGTAGGTTTGCACTTGTTGAACGTGGTCGTAATAATACCCAAAAAGGCGCTGAGGTTGGACAGTACATCTTTGTACCCGCAATCGTTGTTTTAATAGACCTCGTCGCCCGGTACGTTTCGGATAATATAAGGCCGTTTAGAAAATCGCTTCCGACGTACTGCATCAACCTTGAATAAAATCCGTGATTGCAACGTAAAAGGCTTATATGATGGGCGACCAGGAACTTCGCGAACCACACCATTCTCTCGTGGCTGTTAAGCAGGTTTTTGATGTGCTGAAACTTGCCGCGAATGTTCAGCTCGTGGAGGCTCGTCATGGTGATTATAATTTTATCCGCGTAATCGTCTTCGGGTATCTTCGTAGGCGTAAACGGTAAAGCCATTAGCGATGTGATCATCCCTTCGACGCTTTCACTACAAGCGGCCAACCCTGCCGAGGCGTCCGACGATGGCACGACCGCCACCGCTTGTTCACGACTCACGATTTCCGTGGGCTTCGAATCGATGGCACTCGCTTCTGTGGTAACTGTTGCTTCGCGTTCTTCCGGCTGAGTCACGAAAAATGATTCCTGTAACCTTTTGGTCGACGGTTGGGTCCTCGCCTCTACGCTCCGTTCCACGAGCACAATTAATCCGGTCGGTAATGTTTTGAAATGTGGAATTTTTGATATCGAAACATAGTACTGAGGGCAGTACCATAATCGATACCTAAACCGAATCAAAGAATCGTGCCAAAGTTGTACATTTCCGAGTACGGATGTTCCTTGAGAGCATCCAGGACAATGGCCAAGGCCTTCCTAGAGTCTCGGAATCGGATATCAAACCGCGTTCGATCACATCACCGAACAGATGGGCATATCGGTTTAACGCTTCTGCGGTGTACGTTCGGAAGCATTCGATCTCGCTGAAGAAGTGCTTCAATACGTAATCGAATACTTTTCGGTCGTGTTGGATCGACGACTTTTTGAGTTCCGTCAGATTGTCAAGAACTTTTTCTACCGAATGAGCGAGATCGGCTCGATAGTCAAAAACTTGCTCGTAGCATTTCAACGCTTCATCTTTCACGTTGACGAAAGAAAACGAAAGTTTCGGCACCAACGTGACGACGGTCTCGGTTCGCAACGGCGGAAGATCGGGTCCATCGAGACGATATTATGCTGCTCGGTCGTGTCCCCTTGCTCCGTTGAGCTACGTAAAGCTACGCTTTATTCTGGAGTATACAATTGATTCAAATAACATACCAAGATGTGGTATTATAGAAATGGGTCAGAAATTTTGGACATCAGATGGGTCTCCAGATTCTAGCATTGGTGCTTTAAAGTAGGGGTGGGCAACTGATGGCCCGCGAGCCTTTTTTATCTGGCCCGTACTATATTTTCAAATTATATTAATTTTAAAGTTAATCGTCTATACTCTTATATTATATTATATTATTTTACCTTGTCGATATAATAATTGTTATCTGGTATTAAACATCGTTAAATGTCTATATGACATATGTCATAATAATAATTGTAGAGTGGTAGTATAGTCATAATAATATTATTCTAGAGTCTAAACGTCACATTATGAACACGCATAACTTTCAACCATATATAGCTATAGCTGTTTGTACCGCACTATTTAACTATATTAGTTTCTTCGTATTGTGTTGTCATATGTGTTGAATTTATTATTTCCATGCACATTTATGCTAATTCAAATTCATATTTCGAATGACTTTTTTTTTTTTTTTTACGCTCTGGCCTACTAGATTTTAATTTTCTAAAAATTGACCCTGTAGCAATTAGTTGCCCATCCCTGCTATAGAGGATATTTTCAAAACATTAGGAGAAACACCCAAGTTTAATGAACGCCTGAAAAATAAATAAATTGGAAAAGCAATAGAAAAAACATTTGTATAAACATTAAATGGTTATCTGAGACGATAGAATAAGTGTTTTTAAAGAGTTAAGAGCAGATAAGACATTTTTGACAGAAAAAGTAATATTGAAAGATCAGTAATCAGATGAGCCAGTAACTGAAGGAAGTTGAAGAACTAAAGAATTTAACAACAAGGAGAAATGGGTTGCAAACAGATTCAATTGGGATCTTTGTGGTAATGATGTACAAATGAAGGAACTGGATAGCTGATTTATAATCATGGTATTTATGAGATTTTGAGGGGTAATATGTCAAAATGTTATTTATTATTTATATCACACTAGGAAAATGCAAAAATGTAAACTTTGAATGAAGTATACCACTACATCGACATGATTATTGATTATATAATTGGCTATACATTATGTTCATGGATAAAGTAATAATTGATATACCTTCAATATGGTTTATATTGTGATTCTTTAATCATATCTGTTGTAAGCAAGCAATGTTGGCAGCAGTCCGTACTTGCAAAACTAAACCTAAAAATATTTAAATTGTGTATATATTTTTTTCAGCAACAATAAATACTTTTTATTTTTATTTTAAAGGGAAAAAGAAAGTTTATTTTTGTATACCTACATAAATATTTTGAATTTCTATTAATGTTAAAATTCAAGATTACAATAACAAAATATAAAATTACGTTAATGCATAATTTATATCAATACATATGTAGGTTTAGATTAAAAAAAAAAAAAGTTACAACAGTCATAAATTGAGGAAATTTAAATATAGCATATTTATTATATACATCAATAATCAAATTATAATTACTTAATATTAATTAATAATAAGTTTAACAGAGAACAAACTATTATTAAATTTATCAATTTTCATGATAATTGTAATAATTAATTTCTATCACATAATAAATTAAATTTTATTTATTCTGTACTTTTATAACTAGTGAAAATCAATAATTGTTATGATTAATAAATCATATGTACTTCCATTATATACGAGTTGAAGATAATCACACAGATTTTTTGAGTTTTTTTCTTTGAATCTCCCATGCTATTTGTTTTCTAAACCGAGTCATATGTTTTTGAGAAAAATTTAATGGAGCATCTCTAGATAAATATTCAGCAAACATACAAACAAATACTCCACAATCAAAAACATTGTGCTGTTTAGGACATTTTGATACATTCATCAATGACCAACCACCAGCGACAAAATCTGTATTTTTCTTATTCTGATGTTCAAATATCAAATACTTTAATATAAGTTTTAAACACTTAAAATTTCGTCCTCCAAGACTATCGTAATATTTAATAGACTTTTCTGTGAAATCGACACATACCAGACACCAATGTTCATCTTCTTCTATATGAACAGGTATAAATAATTTTTTCTTACTAAATATGTCAATTTTTTTTGTCCAACGACAAACATGTTCATATCCCTTTTCAGAAAAAGCTAAATAAAAAAATGTATTGAAAGCATACACTGTGTCAGGAGAACGTTTAGTAATTAGATCCATATATTCGTTAATGACTTCATCGTTTAAATAGTATTGATTTGTATCATCTTCATCAGATTCGACAGTCTAAAATTATAAAAATACATTAAAAATTTTAATATTTTATAACATCTTATACACAAACAAATTACATTAACAATTTACAATAATAAAGTATTTATATAAAAGATAAAATAAATAAAATGTACAAATAAAAACATTTTAAAAAGAGAGAATAATACATATCATCTCTTATTCTAACAGGCAATACGACCCAAATTGGGTAGTAGGAAAAATAAAAAGGGCAGTTGACTTTGTGAATATGGACACCTTACACAAAAAATATAATTTTCCTTATAAAATGATTGAATTTTTACTGAGTATTTGAGATTTGTGTAATTTATAAACCCAACCTAGTACCTAATAAGCAAGGCTCGGAAGTTCTAGCAAATGCATATTTTTCTTGGTTCATCTTAGAACATCCAAAGTAAGATACAAATATTTTTCTCACTACTCGGATATCATATACAAAATTTAATTTTGCTATTTCTTGCATATTTACGGGTTTTATAGCTATTTTGCTAATTTAGAGTTTATAGTACTATTTTCAGGTATATTTTCACATAATGTAGGAAATAATTATATTTTGTTGATAATAATTGTATTTACTTGGTTATGTCTTTAAAAAAATATTTTAATTATTGGAAATAAATAGACTTCATCAAATATTATTTTATGTTTTCATCGACAATTTGATGTATTAATAGTTAGTGACATCATTGTTATTGCATTAGATTATCAAACATTTTAATAATCTAGGATAATTTTCAAGGTAAATATATAAAATAATTTAATAATAAGTACATTTTTACAAATATATTTAAGTAATTTAACATTTTTATTAACGGTCTATAATTCAATCAATCCAGACTGTGTCTCATGAGCCCAACAATTTGTAAAATTACATTTTTTTCAAGTTAAATGCATATTTTTTTGATTTTTTGTGCTATTTATAGCGTATATTTTAGAGTTTTTAAGTGCATATTTAAGAGCTAAAAAGTAACATTTTTAGTGCTACAACTTATGAGCCCTGCTAATAAGTTATAATTATATAAGTATACAATCTTTGTTACTTCGATGATTGATTAATCTATGAAATTTAAACTTAAATAGTGGTATACATAAAATGGAAAAGATCTGTATTTTTTTTTTTTATATTTTACCACGCGATGGTCAAAATTCTAAAACATCAATATACAATTTATTTGGGAAGGAAATAAGTAATATAATTTAAATAAATTTCATAAAACAAACTTTTCAGTGTGTTTGGGCAGTAGGTAAAAATCCTTAGAATAAGCCCTGAGACATATGAAGTTTAATAAAATATTAGTAACAATTATTTTAAAAACTAGCTGAGTTACCCAGGCTTCTTGTGAGATATTTTACTAATTTAGATTAGTGTTACGTCAAGATGGTAGTGAATAAAATTATTTATTTGTACTAAAGGGCAACATGCATTTTAATACACATTAAAAACTTAATTATACAAGAAATAATTTAAAAGTATTTATTTTTACATTCTTGAAGATAAATTAATTATATTAATGCATAAAATGTCTATAAAATAATTTAAAATTAAAAAAAATGTCATAATAAATATATAGCAAAACCTTCCTTAACAGACATCTTTTAATAGCAGACACCTTCAAATAACGGAATTTTTAACCCCTATAAATATGTGAAACTCTAAATAGTTCTAAATTAATATTTTTTAATACTAATTAAGAATAATTGTGGAATACCTAAATAATAGTCTCATAATAAATGATAAATGATGCCAATACAAGCAATTTTTTTTCATAAATGTTAATTTTTAAGATGTATATATTTACATGACTGTGTATACTCAATATTTATGAGAAAAAAGTTCATGACAACAAGTTTGACGAAAAATTAGTTTTGCAGAGTTATTTCTTATTGTAATTAAATTTTTCCATGACCATCCAATTTTATTAATTTTTTTATATATTAACTATTATTTTCCTTAATTTGTAATAGACTTCAGAAACTAAGACATTTCCACAGTTACAACATTTACCAATTAAACAATTTATGTCTTTAACAAAATTAAAGTCTTTCACCACAACATATATATATTAATATAAAACCTAATTAAGCAAATTTAATGTTAGCATGAACAATTTACATGAATATGCGCATAAAATAATATAATATGATAAGTAATTTAAACTAGCTTAACACATTTAGATAAAGAAACTAGAAAAGATGAAATACCAAATGGAACAAACATTGAATAGAAATTTGATCATTAAAGAAGTCACATGGTTTTGATAAGATGTGCTCTTAGTATAAGTTTTCAGTTATACTTAAAATGTATATACAGAGAATTTGACAAAAAAGGTGTAGGTAATACCTACTCTAAAAAAACATAAATTGAAAAGTACAACTGTCAAGTAATCATAAACTGATCTTTATATGCTAAAAGTAAATGTTTTATTAATGTACTTACATTATCCACCGACTTCATTATTCTTAAAGTTCTTTGTGTCATTTTTTTAAAATAAACTGTAATGTGAAATTAATATAATCAACACCGAATATCAAATTTAAAAAAAATGATTTACTAATAAGTTTAGTAAATGTTTTTCCGGTGTTTTATATACTGTACCGTATAATTGATTATAACACTACTGTAAAAAACTAATGTTTAGATTACTTTGAATCGTACATTTGAACACCATGCTATAATAATTCATTATATCTTTTTATGTATATGGTGCTCACAATCTTTTAGTGATAAGAAGTAAATTTATTTTAACCGCCAAAATTTGAATTCAATCTGTACAATATTATTCTATTACAACCATAGACTTATAAACTGGGGCATATTTAGGAGGAGGCTAAGAAAAAAGTGGCATAATGTATATAAATAAAAGTTATACTGTATTTTCAAAAATGAAAAAATATAAGATATCCGCTTACAGCTTAGATTAATTTAGGTATAAATTAGATTAAGTTAACCTTGTTTATGTAATGTTTATAAATACAAAATTATACTTTGCAAACATTTAAGTTGTATAATAATATAATATATAAAATATGTCCCTTAAGTATAAGTTAAAACTTGTGAACGAAACTTCATATTTCCCCCGGTAGTATGGGCCGGTCAAAAATGTTGCCCCCCCCCCACTATCAAAAACTGAAATGACGCCACTGTAAAAAGACCTCAGCCCCCTTCAAAATTTCAAAAAAAAATGTCTAGTTTGTTTTCATCCTAAAAAATATAAATTATAGAAGCCTTTATTATCATTTACTTATGAATTATTAGTTTTAAATTATTCATATATGTAGTGTACCTATTAATTTTCTATTATTATGTAGGTATTTTATTTCATTAATTTTTTTAATATATAAATATTATGAATAAATTAATATACATAAACATAAGTTATTTCATTTTATATTTATAAACGGGTAAATATCGTATGAAACAATATGAGGAAAAGTACTGATTATAACACATGATAAAATTTTTATAATAACAAACTAACAAATTATATAAAATAATACATACAAATTTAAAAAGGTTAGAGGTATAACACAGAGTGCTGTATTTAGACATTTTGCGCCTCGGTGCAAAAAAAATGGCGCCTCTCCAAGAGACCTACCCACGGAAAATATACGATATAGATCCTCATGAACCTTGTGGAGGTTACACTATGTTGGGATTAAAGACTTCGTGCGAAAAACAACGAGTTCTTCACGCCAGTGAATGCGTTTGGCATCCGCGTTACTGCGCATTCGCTAGGACTTCAGATTATCCGCGACTCGACACCGTCAGTGCACGCGAAATCATTATCTCAAATCACATAATCTCATCATAATTATCATTATTTTCAAAGTAAGAAGGCCATATTTATTTTATGGTAGTTTACTTTTTTAATTCATTCAGTTAAAATGTAAACATTCCAGACTGTCTTATTTCAATTTGTGGTGTTTTTGCACTAAATAAAATCTTACTAGAGTGTGATATGTTAAGTAGAACAGCAATATTTAGAGTTGTGTCAGTATGACATTTTAGAACACTATTAGAAAAAAAAAATTTTAACTTCAAACGCTCATAAAAAATTGTTTAACTTTCCAGCTTAATGTAGGAAAACTCATGAGGAATCTTTTATTATTTAAATAATATAAATAATAAAATAATGATAATTATAGTTGAGACTCCGTCAGATTCTAAAGTCGTAATTTCAATTTTGATGGACAAGCTCTATTTATTATAATTGTCCCCAGAGATTTGGTCATTCACCAAGTTTCTTCATTCATGATCCGTAATAAATAATAATGATAATTATAATGAGATTATGTGATATGAGATAATGATTGCGTACGCACACAGATATCTATATTATACTAGATAACGAACTACCGATGTTTTCCATTGAGAGAAGTGAAGCCCGGGGATGCAAGATTATCATACGTCCGCCATGTTTTTGGTTGGCAAAACAATATTACTTTACACTATATAAAATAGTTGAACACACTAAATTATTAAATTAAACATTTTTCATTACGTTTAATCTAAATTAAATTTCATTATAGAATTGAGAATATTAATTTAAAATTGCACTATTGATTATTTACATAATGTATATAATATATATTGATTATATTATACTCGTAATCAATGAGTATACAATAAATAAAATGACTTATTTAAATACACAAAACCATATCACTATACTTACTATATTTAGTTTTAACTATTATATATATATATTAATTAAAATATATAAAATAAATGTTTATGTACTGATATACTGTAGTAAGGTTTGTTTTCCAAGTTTGGTTACTAACCTTAGCGCAATTGATTGAAAAGCCTAAATTGGCCTGATGTTCGAGGGATTTGCTGGACCCCAGATTGGTCTTATGATTGACTTATATGTAATAAGTTTGTTTTGGAATGTTATTTTGGAGTTTAGAAGTGGTCGGAGGAGGTGAAGTCTGTTGTTCGATGATTTTCTCTTTGGTGGGGGCTCCAAGTTAGTCTTTTATCAAGCATTATGCCTAAGTACTTAATTTTGGTTTGGACAGGGAAGGGGGCGTTGTTCATAATTAATTGAGGGCACTCACAGGGAGAATGTTTTAACGTAAAAGTAATTTGTACAGACTTTTCCGTATTAATTTTTACTTTCCATTTTTTGGCCCATTCTTCAATTTTATTAGCATGATCCTGGAGTTCAGCTGAAGCTAAAATAGGATTTGGACTGGAGGAAAGAATAGCTATGTCATCAGCGTATGTTGCTAGAAGGGTGTTACTAGATTGAGGGATGTCTGCTGTGAATACATTATATAGGTCAGGGGATAGATCACTACCCTGTGGAATTCTAGCATATATTGGGTGGGTAGATGAAATATCGTTCCCCTGTCGTACGATAAACGGTAATGGCCATTGCTGGATACTGGACACTCACTCCGGTAGAGGACTACAACCGTATTGATTGACCCGATGTCCGAGGAATGTAAGTTGCGGAACGCCGAAAATACATTTGCTTGGGTTTATAGCAACGCCCGTGGCTTGGAGTCGTTGAAGTGTCAAGCGCACATGACTCACGTGTTCCGCCTCAGTTTTAGACGTGATTAACACGTCGTTTATGTAGGCGAACGCGAAATCCATGTTAATACGCCGTTGATGAAGCGCTGGAATGTCTGTGCCGCATTCCGTAACCCAAAACACATGACAGGGAATTCGTATAACCCAAAAGGTGTGGTGACGGCCGTTTTCGGAATATCGTCTTTGGCGACGGGTATTTGGTAGTACGCTCGTACCAGATCGAGCTTTGTAAAAACAGTTCGACCTACTAGATTAGCAGCGAAATCATGAATGTGCGGCAGAGGGTACCGTATACGGTATAGTCAGGTTTAGTGACCGCATTCAAATGCCTATAGTCGCCGCAGGGACGAAAGGTTCTATTTTTCTTGGCTAACAACAACAAGGGGCTGGCCCATGGGCTGTTTGATGGTTAGCAGATGCCTTTTTTGCACTTAAATTCGAATTCTTTCAATGCAACTTTATACTGTTCTGGAGACAAACGGCGTGGATACGTAAACAAAGGTGGTCCGGACGTAAACAAAGTGTGCTCCGTAGAATGATTGAACTTCACAGTAACGAGTGATTCCCACATGATATCTGGTAACTCGGCGACGATGTTGGTCCAACTTTGTGGCTATGAAACAACTCAGCTCCCGAATCGATTAGAAATTTACGGTTGAAACGTGCATCGGTAATGAAAACGCGGCAGCTACGGTTTGCGGCGGAATACGGAGACATAACCGCCGTGGCTGTTCGTTTTCCGACTTATACGCACAAGGCTGTTTACAGTGTCTGACATCGGCGCCGTAACGGTCGTGATAATGGCACCAGTTAGCGTTGGTACGGGATCGTGATTTTGAACGCCTTCGACCACGTCCGAAATCAGAATTACTGCTGAGTGTAGGCGCGTGGTGAGTAGGTTCGATACCTGTGTGGTAAGCAGTGGTATATTGGAGGGTATACGGCGTATACCCAATACGCTATTCTTAACAAGCGTCTAGAGATAGAAAACGCCGAATGGCTGCAAGATGGCGGCCTTATGTTCTTATCAATCGTACCTCTTATCTTCAAAAACATTTATCAGTACCTATTATCACAGAATACTTTTATTATGTAATATTATCTCAAGAGATTATGAAATATTAAATATTAACAAACATTCATAGTTCATAAAAATAATTATTAGTCATTCAAATTTTAATGTAAATAGTTATAAAATATAATAAATTCAATATTCAATACTTCAACTATTTCATAATCTTTTTTTTTTGTTATTAATTAATTTTATTATATAATCTGTAAATATGTTATTTTTACAATAAGTACAAGTGTTGTAAAGACAGAAATAGAATACAAATAAAATAAATAAAAAGGGACTGATGACTTGAACGAAGAATCCATCCAGCGATGGAACTTCTTGAAATTGTGAATGGGCATTGATAGGCATTATTTCATTTGAAAATGGTTCAATTCGTACAATTTCTTCTATGTGACATACTTCACAGATAAAATTCGCTAAAAAACCCTTTCTGAATTTCTTTTATTGGACGCAAGTTTGAAAATGAACAGTCAAACATATCGTGTTTAATTTTTGCGATACTGTCAAAAATATATTGAATGTTTACTATTCTTTGGCCATTGACAACACATTTTCTAAAAAAATACCGAAATCCACTCATGAATTTAAAAATTTAGCATTATTTCGACTAGGTAGTTAAGGTGTACACACACAAAAAAAAAACATACATCATAGTAAAATCAATAAATTCGTCACTTCGTTCAGAATCTAATAATACATTTGAATAGGTACAGTATACTAACTCAGGAATTGAGAACGATTTACTGTTATTTGTAACACTAGATATAGCACAACTTGAAAAACTGTTGTTCAAATTTGAATTTTTGAATTTAATATTGAATATATTAAAAAATATCTAAAATATGAAAAATATACTCCGACCGATGCAAAGTAGACATGTTGACCAATTCAAAAATCTTTACACTTTTTAAATCGAACTACTAGAAGTACCTTCATTTTTGTCAGTCGCTGAGGTCGTTTTGATGAAAAATTAATAGGGTTTGCAGGGGCCTTAATGGCATAATGCTATTATGGTAAATTTATAGCCGAGAATAGATTACATTTAATCTATTCTGTGTTTATAGTATCTTGAGTGTAATATAGTTTTTGACATTTTTTCTTTCTTTGGAAAGTTTGTATGTAGTTTATAACTTCAGGACAAGAGAGTATTTGAGGGGGGGGACGAACGTAATAATAATAACTTAATTTTACATTTTAGATTACTGTTATCGACTGACATATAGACATAATATGTATAAAGTATGTATAAAATATGTATATCTTTATACGTTTATGGTTGTACATTATACAATACGAGCTATCTAGTGTAACTACATTCTACAAGATAATACTTTACAATCATTGATTGTAGAATAAACTATTTAGCGCCATATAATATAATTATATTCTACTATGATAGCGCCGACTGATAATAGTATTGTGCTATATAGATACTATAATAGACTATATCACTATATATAATCAATGTATTAGAGTGATTTTCATCTGTTTATGTTAACTGATAAGAGAATTTATAAATCTTTTAGGAAAAGTATATTTTAGCTCGTTTTAGAATTTAGAGTTAGGTTTATTTTATAACATTGTTATTTGTTGATGAATTATTATATATATTTATACATATGTTAACCGATATTGATTTAATTATAGATATGTTTTCTCAGTTTTAATCCTTTTTGGTCTTATTATAACCTTTTATGATCACCTAATACCACTTAAATTTCTTAAAATGGTTGTGAACAATAGACAAAAAACAAATGTACTGAAGAATTTTAGAACAAACGAGGTAACATATGTTGAAACACTTTTATACAAATTGCTAAAATGTAATTATTTTTGTATGTACTATGTAATATGTATATTATTTATTCACCGTTTTAATAATAATATTATTACTAAAAATTATTAATTTAAAGATATTTTAGGGAGTGAAATTTGATATTTTCTTAAAAATAACAATTATAATTTATTTATACTGTTCATTTGTAAGGAAATGGGTTGCTTGGAAATTTTCTTGAACTATTAATTACTTGATGTAACATTTTTTTAATATTTTTAAATTGTATTTATTTATTGTAAATAGAATGATACCCTTTGATAAGTAATAGTACAATAAAATCTTAACTTAACAAAATATCAGAAATATAACTAAAAAGTAAGGAAAAAACAATATTAAAAAATAAAACAATGTGATAGTAGTTAAGGATATTATTAATCAAATTTATGATACCTTTATTTTATTTTTTCTAGATTGATTCAGAAGATTTAAGCTTAGAAGATTTAAGTATAAATGAAGTATGTAATCTTATAATGATGAGAATAATAAAAAACTATTTATAACCTTATGACTTAATTTTATGATAATATTTCTTTATTTAATATTTAATTTGAATGAAAAACAATCTGTTGATATATTTAGGTACAGACAAACACAATAAAACATTCCTGGCAGTATACAGTTCAATTAAATCCAATTACGTTTTATGAAGATAATTCAGACATACAAGTAAAACAAATTAAAAAATAAAAAAATAAAATACTATAATACATTTTTGTTAAACTTCTATATTTTAGCCAAACAATGAAAATCAAGTTTGGAAGGAAACTCAATTCTTATCTGTATGTTCTGTGTTTACATATTTTTAGTATATCTAAATTAATACATAAATAAGTAAACAAATAATTTATATATAGAAATAAATAAATGTTTAGTCTGGAATATTATTATATTTGTAAAGTACGAACAGTTTTGAATTAAAAATTCATCATGTGGTACATACAATGATAATAAAATTGCAATTAAATATATAAAAATAAACTTGCAACTGCATATAAAAAAATAAAGGTAATGTTATCGTATTAAACTTTATATAGGCAAGATTAATATAAATTTTAAAATAAGATATAAAAAACACATTTCTAAAATTAAATTAAAAGAGATGGCTAATTCAAATTTTGCTTAACATTTTAAACAAGAAAATAACCATAGTTTTTATTTTGATATTAACACAGATTTAGAAATAATAAATACCCATTAAAACATTTACATTAATTAAGTTTTAGAAGAGTTAGGTACACATATACAATAATATAAAGAAAAATAATTTAATAATATTCAAGTGTACAAACCGATTTTAAAAATAATATCTTGTATTATTATATTAGATCAGCGTTTCCCAAAGTGTGTTCCGCGGAACCTTAGGGTTCCATGAGATAATGTTAAGGGTTCCACCAGATGTATGTGATTGTTGAGAAACTTATTTTATATTATTAAAAAAAATTGTAATACAGAGTAATCATTAACAATATTAACAGTGTCATTAAAAACATTTTTTAGAGTATTGGTTTTCCTTTCTTTTATTTTTTTTAGAAAAATTAGAGTTGAATTGGAATTAAAGGTATGTATTCCTCAAAACAAACATTTTTTTTAAAGGTTCCGTGATTATAAAAGTTTTGGTACTGCTGCATTAGATTAGATTATAATAAATAATAATTAACAAAGTATTTATATCTCTTAACATGTCAATATCTAATAAGAACTGATTTGAAATAATTTCTCCTATTAAAATAAATTATCTGTATGTAAAACAATTAATTTTTATCAATGTATTCCTTCCTGTATTTTTTCGTATTCAGTTGCGAGTTAATTTTTTTATATTCAGCCACAATTTTATTAATATTGTATACACCAGATGTTAAATTTTTTATTTGAAACTACTTGTAGATTACAAATATAATATTCCAGGATAAGTTTTCATTGTCAATAAAAAAATAATTTAATTTTAATTTTACTTTTTAGTTGTACAAAAATGTATTATCAATTTTAAACAAGCTTACATGGACCACATTTGATCAACTAGTCGATCAGTTTCAAAAATTGCCAATAAATAATGCAGAATGTCTTGAAAATATTGCTAATATTGTTGTACTTAAAGTAAATCAAATAATTTTAAACTATATAGTAATTTATTAGTTTTATAAGTTAATTAAAATTAAATTAATTTTCTTTTTAGGCTTTTGATGAACCTTCTTTTGGATCTTTATATGCTTCGTTATGCAGAGCTCTTGACATAAAAATTAACTGTCAAAATGCAAATGGCATATCATATCAAATGACATTTAAAAAATGTGTAATCACAGTATGTCAAAACTTTTTTCAAAAGCACTGTTTGGATGATACTGAAACATTAACTATGTCTGTTGAACATGAACAAAATCAAAGGAGACTTAAAATGCAATCTATAGGTTGTATAAGGTACAAAAAAAAAATTAGTATATTATTAAAGAAAGAATATAATATTTGTGTAATATTAGTAAATCTCTTATTTATAAATAATTGTACTTGCAGATTTATTGGTGAAATTTTCAAACAATCATTATTATCTCCAAATGTTGTCCATTACTGTGTAAAAACATTAGTGTCTAGGTCTAGAGAAAAATCGCTTGAATATCTGTGCAATCTTCTGAAAATAGCTGGCAAAGAACTACAAGAAAAAGTATTTTTTTACAACTAAAGTTTAAGTTTAAAATAATTAACATTAACCCCTTTTTTTTTTTTAATTATTTAAGATAAGTTTGATAGATGTATTTGAACACTTGGTGTATTTGGTGTCTGATGAAATGCGATCTAAAATATCACCCAGGATACGATTCATGGTTAAAGATGTAATTGAAGTGGTTATGTTTAAGAATGTTTTAAATAAAACTGATTCAGATGCAATATTAAATTATAGTTAATGTACAACATAATTCAATCTTTTTTGTAGCAGATTTGAAAAAGTAAATATATTATTAAAAATTGAAATTATTATTATAAATTAATTTTAACATCTAAAGAATAGTTTATGATTATAGTTGAATGGATTTAAACAATTCAAAAATGCAAATTTATCTTGGCGCCTACAAAATTTTCACCATGTTAATTTTACAAAACCACCTACTGTAATGTATTTTTATATTTGATATTATAGTGTAAATACTAAATGTGTTAATAATGATTTATTTCAATTGGTAATTATTTAAAACTTGAATAGTTTGTGATAAGTAAAAACTATTACCTTTGTAGACTATTTTAGGCACAATTTAAAATTAATTGTGATACATAACAAAAAGACTATGATGAATAAAATCCATATAAATATTAAAATATGAGAATATTGTAATGTACACAGATAAAATATTTTGATTGGGTTTTTTTACATGATTCTTCTCCTTTTTCTTGGTTTCAACCAGTCAAGATCATTTTTCTTAATAAATATACGGCCATCAATCTTTATTCTCTTTTATTTCCTACCAACAATAGTTTGGTTCCACTGTTCCAGCATTTCTTGTAACGCATATTTTCCATCTGAATTATGGTTTCCAAATAGTCTTTTTACTGAGTTTTCCTATAAGTGAATCATGTTTCCTCCTAACATGTCCTGCCCAAACCAATCTTTTTTAAAATCTGTTTTAGAATACTTGGTCGCTAAAAAAGGAATTACATTTTCATTGTTGTGTAGTTTTCTCCATTCATTTTCCTGACTACTTCTTCTTTGACATTGCCATCTATCCTTCGTTCTTCAATTTTTCTTAGAGGCCAAGTTTTTGTTCCATAAAGGGCAATTTGTGTGACACATGAATATGTATTAAATAAGTACAAACATATGATGTTGAGCAAATTTTTTTTTAAGGAGCTTTCAGTTGATATGTACAATCCAGCCTCTTGAGACTAAAATCTGGCACTGGATACAGTAGTCAATGTAAAGTAATGGTTAGGCATGTTATTAATTGTATGTTTAATTATTATCAAATAATACCGTTCTATATAACAATGTGTATTTTTAATTGTGATAGTACAACTAGCAAAAAAAAAGTATTTAGAAAATTATTTAGTAACTGTCACATCGCCATTTGATATAATTTTTTTTTTTTTTTTTTTAATATGCGATTATGGTATATTGTTACCAGTCACAATTGTTTAGTTCACAACAGAGGTGAGTAGTTCGTGAATGAGTGATTCAAAAAGTCGAATCTTTTAGGTGAACTGGATGAGGAATCAGTTTGCCATAATACAATGACTCAATAACTCAGTTTTACTCAAAGATATATATAGTGTATATTATTCCTCAAAAAAACTTAAAAAAAAGTAAAAAAACTCCAAGCTCAAAATTAGAATATTATATTCTTGCAATGAAAAAAATCTGTAAAAAATTGCGCTAATATCAACAGTATTCAAGCTTTCAATTTACGAGGTACTTCAACCATTTTCCTAAACTTTTCTTATTTCTTCTTACTTATAAATATTATCTTTGAACCGGTTTTGTTTCAATATCATTATTCAATACTTGGCGGCTAATTTTAATATTAATATCTGCTTAATAAGTGTATTTTAGATAATTATATGTATATAATAAATGTGAAGTAGGATTTATTACAGGGAACAATTATTATGTAACTAGTTCAACGTTTAAATAAAAATAGTTGCAGTTTGCCAAGTGATTGCATTAGATCACCTTAAGCCATTTTATCGTATATTAGAGTATATATAATTCTATAGGAGTACCTTAAGTTAAACCCGATTGTTTAGGTTTGCGAATAAATAACAGCATTTTACTGCTGTTCGTTTTCATCATTTATTTCACTTCTATAATATATTCTGATAACAATTTACATAAATATGCGAGGAAATTTAATTAAATAGGCAGCATTTCAGGACAATTCAATGCTTTCAAGAATGCTCTTTTAATAAAGTCTACGGCACGCAATGACTGAATGAAATACATCAAATGTATTCGCTTCAGTTATGAACAATATGAAAAGGCAGTGTTTTATTAAGTTGTACTCTATAATACATAATATAATCTATATTTGGTCAATCCAGAATCACTTTACACAGTGGTGTAGCTACTAGGGTGACCTGGGGTGGGAGAGCAACTGCCTCAGGGCGAATCCGTTGCACATAAACAAGTGAATTAAATTTACCAAGTGACCAAATTAATTATTTTGATAAATTAGTAGCACATACTCATAGTCGGCGAGAAGGTGAGACAGGGAAGGCAGAGCCCTGTGGCCCGTCTTCTCAGCCATTTATACAATATTTTTATTGTTCTAAAGTAGGTATATATATCTTGGCCAAACAAATGCAACCGATTAGCTCCAGGGCTCTCAAAAGTTCTCGCCAGACCAGCGCATACTTATTGATTACAAATGATGGTTTAATAGGTTAAACCATATACAGTAATAGTATTTAAAAGTTTTATCAAGTGTCGTGTCTTACAGGCACGATTATAGATAGTCTATATATTTTTTTCTATATTTTATTCCTGTTTTATATTTATAGGTCAAAATTAAAATGTTTTAGTATTTAAAAAACATGGATACTTTATTATTTATATATATCATAAATATATAAGTAATATGTTATATTTATATTTTATATAGAATATGATTGTTATTACAATTTTTAATAAAACTGGTATCTTGTGAATATAAAAGTTTTCTTATGAAGGGTCAAATCAATTTTCTATTATGTTAGATTCAAAATTAAGTCTTGAATTATTTCATAGTTCATATATTTTTGACTTGGTGACTGATGTGTGTAAAATAAAATACTAACATGAATAATGTAGAGTAATTTGAACCCTTGGACCCCATCTCCTCGGTTAGAACGTCCATAACTCCAACAATAAATAAAAAGTTAAGGGCCCCAAGTTGGATTTTTCCTCGGGGTGCTGTAGTTATAAGCTGATTATACGATTTGAGATTAAATATTTTTTCAATGATTTTTGAAATCAGGCACATTGTGATAATATTTAGTATGTTCGAAAATAAAATACAACTTCTATGCGACCGAAAAAAACATACTAAAAGTAGGAATTCAAAATTCAAAATGTTTATAATTTTTTTCTAAAGACATTGGAATTTTTAATATTTTTCTTGTGTTCGTGTACGGCCAAAATATCGTTCATACAAAAGGATCAAGTACACGTATGTGTGGGTTAACTAAGTATTAACTGCGTGTATTTCAGACAAACCACTGACCGTTGGACTAATTCTCTTGGCTAATGGCTTTTCACTCTGTTTCGTTATTCCTTTTTTTCGTCGACTTTTCCTTATATAGAATCCGCAGTAAACTATTTGCATTCAGAGCATTCCTCTGGCGGCATATTTGACACTAGCGTTTCGGCGAGACACCGCACGTTTTGCATTTTTTTAGCTCGGCTGACTGACACTTAATTCTTGATCGTTACTGCTGTTTTGAAATGATGTACCTTTTTTTAGCATAACGATTTATACAAGCACACACACAGGACTACGATAAAAAAAAAATAACTAGGGGAGCTCTGATTAGGTGCTGATTAAATTTTTGGGACGATCGCCAAAAAACGCTGTTTTATTTTATTCGTATCTATAATATTATTTTCATCTTCAATATCGCATTACCTATAATTTGAGTCTAGATGTTGATGCTGTAAAAAACCTAAGAAAATGCTGCGAAATTAATGCCTTTATGATTCGAAGATTGATTCAAAAAATTACACATCAGAAAGAAGAATCAATGAATTAGCTGCTCTCAATATCCAATACAAAGTCAATGTAACATCTGAGGAAGTAATACAACATTTAAGCTATACAAAATATTGTTTAGATTTCAATTTCTAAACTTGTACATACCTCTTACCTTTATTTTTTACATAATACATTTAATTATCATTCAATTTTACATTATAATCAAATTTTTTCTTTAATTCAGGCTCAAAATGTACAAGTCAAATTTTGGTAATATTTAAATCGGATGAATCCTTAATGTTTGTGGTTTTTTTTTTTTTAATTTAATGTCGAATTCACTTAGGATCAACTTTTGTGTAGTTATTTTTAACACAGGTCTGTGTTTTAAAAGTTACGCTTGTGTTTTATTTGATTTTTATGAACCCGACAAAAAGCCCAATTCAGTATTCACAGCCACGCGTTATTTGATTTCGTTATAAAATGATTATTTTAATTTGATTCGATACGGCGAAGTAAAAGGATCAATACTTCTCTCTCGATACTTACTCATATCGGTCCTTTCGTTTCGATATTTCCATTCTATATGATAACAAGTAAAGTATCGAAACTTTTCTTTTGATACCACATCCCTTGAGGTGACTGACGGCAGCCACATGCTTTCGCGTTGTCTTGCACTGGCTGCGCGCAACCAGTTGACTACCATGCACGTTCTACCGATTGCCGCAGCCGGGAATCATTGGTTGCCTAGTGTGCGGGCTCCAAAGAACAATTTAGCGCAGGGGTGGCGAACCTTTTATGGTTCAAGTGCCAAATCTTTCCAATAAAGGTTTTGAAAATTGTTCACGTGTCCAAAGACAATTAATTTTCAAATAATAAAAATAAAATTACAGATTTATTTCATTATTTTAATTAAATTTTAGTTATTCTTAGTGAAACACAAGCAGCAATTGTTTCATTGATAGAAACATTTATTTTCTTCTATTTAGTTCAATTTGTTATGGTGAATAAGCTTTCAAAAACATAAGTTAGTAAAAAATATGAAAGCATTAGGAATATTATTATTTTTAAAACATATATAATTTATTACTTTGAATGTCTCATAACCAACATTTTATAAACAGTATTTTGGCACGCGTACCATAAATTTACCACCTCTGATCTAATGTGTCACCTCCCCCCCAATTTCTTCAATATTTTATGAATGTTTAAAATAATTATTTATTTGTAATACCAACATAAATATTTTCAGTCAAAAATGACTTAAGCTTCAATTAATCATTGACTGATTTTAGTTTTATATCATTATATGAAAATATGATATTAATTTGATTACCTAAAAGAAGATTAAATCTTTTTCTGTCTTAGTTTTAACCAATATCAAAAGTTAAAATCTAAATTCAATAAAATTACAGTATACATGTTTTGGATTCTTCCCGAAAAAAATGTCTAGATACGGCCTAGGTGACAGCAGTTTGTAAAAGCGGTTGGGTTATCGAACAGCTTTTTATAAATATCAGATTCGTTGTACAAAGATAAATGTACGCATGACGGTCGCGGTTCTCATTAATGTTTCGGAACTAACCGTCGAAGTGCCTTCACTTTGTGCTATCACTCCCACCATAACAATCTTTTTTCGCTTAGACTTGTCATTCAAAACGTACCCAACTGATTGTTGAAATAAATATAAATCAAATAAATCTAATAAAAATTAAAAGAAAAAAGAACAAAAAATGAAAGTTCGTTGATGACATTTTCACCGTTGTACACTTATCCTTACTATAGCCCTACTTACCGATAATAATTACAATATTTTCTAGATGAATCGTCTCTCATTTCGTCTTCGGCGCGCAATAATAATATTATTACTATTATTGTTTACATAGTGTACATTATAAAAGCAGTTCAGCGCAATGATTGATTTCAACAGTAACCGAGTACGCGCGATCGTCTGATTAAAATTGCAAGTGCCTATTAATATGATTAAGGCCAATCGGTTTTCAAACACGACACAGTTGTTCTTGGGCACGTATCGATCTAATTTTATAATCGATAAATCTAGTCCGTCGCACGAATTACATTTTATAAACGTTTTAAACTCATTTTTCGATGGTTGACAAGACGTTCAAATCCGTACCATAATTAAAATAGTTCTTATGTCTTGTCAATATTCAGTTTCATACAACGTCTCTCCTCTCTCTCTCTCTGCAGACAGTTTTGGCCCACGATGCCGAAACGTATCTCAGATTTTGGTCGTCGTGAAAATCAAAAATCAAAATAAAACATTGGAGACCTCTGTTACACGCCTATTTTTATACGCATGTTTACGGCTATGACACTCACATTGTACATGATATATCCGTGTTCAGATTTCGATTGCGTCCCGTACGAACCTGCGCGAACATTACCCTTAGGTTAGGTTCACATGGACGCGCGTCGGTTGATCGCGCGTATTTAAATATACTGGTCGCAAAATAATCGTTCCCATGGCACGTGATCAACGCGCGTCAACCGCGATAACGACGCAAGTTTCTATTTCCGCGCGAACACGCGCGTGACACCGCGGATTGAAATATCATGTATTATTATCGGACCGTTCAATTGACACGCGCGTTTCGATGCGAACGATCGAATTTTCATCTATAGTTTTCGAAAACAAGTGTTATTTTAAATATGGAAATTGAAATAGATATGTTAATTAATGAAATAAAAAAAAGGCCTGCCATCTGGGACATTGTCATCAGCTTCTAAGGAGTCTTTAATTATATCCAATAGGTCATCAAATGATTTAATGGACATTTTAAAGTAAATGAAAAATTTATCATGGTGCTCTATTAGTTTAGGATATAATGTAGCACTAAATATAATGTAATAATAATCTAAGACTTAAAGAAAGCCTTGTTTTCAAAATAGGATGAACCCAATATTTCCTTTCCGTCATTTGTCTGCATCTTCTCATCCTTCGGTGGACGGGCAATAAACACACAGCATCTATCACACTCATTCTTCATGAAAATTTGAACTATACTAAGTAGTATAGTTTTTGACTAGAACATTCCCGTACAACGCGCGTGACACGCAGCCATCTGAACGGTTTTACGCGCGTTCTGTGGCGTGCTAACGCGCGTCCATGTGAACCTAGCCTTATGGCGTTTATCGGTTTGACGGTTGTACGTGAGATATCTGTGAATAACTATTCCTAGTAGCAATAATAAATATTATATGCCAGAGCCGATAAGGGCATGTTAGGAAATCCCCCTCCACTCCCCACGATGGGTCCACATACCCGCACGGACTACTTTTTTTCAACTTTTTGTTTGAATTCGTAATTTTTCATTTACAATAAAAAAAAAAAAAAATTTTATGAACCGAAAAATATCACTAATCCTGAACAAATATATTATTATGCATGTAACAAATAGTTATTGTTTTATATTTATAAGGAAACAAGGAAACCAAGAATCTCATCAAGAATGTCAAATCTAAATGAAACACGAAGATGTATAAAATTACAATATATAATGTTACTAGTGGTAATTCACTTTTTATTTATTTATGTCCAATGTTTATTAACATTATTTTTCTAAACAGGATATTTTTGTCTTTCTTACCAATTCTTTTGTTGGTACGTCCATTTTCACTTTTTTCTTATTAAAAATAATTAAGATAGTCTTTACTTTGATTTTTGAGTTCGATTGATATTTCTTTTTAGTACAAACATATCAAAATTGCTATCGTATAATTCTCACAGTACTTTTTTCACATTCGACACCAATAGTTTGTATTGTTTTGTTTAAAATTTTCTTTTTGGTCCTAAGACAGTCATATTCTATAATCCAGTCCGCGAGCCTTTTTTTATCTGGCCCGTACTATATTTTAAAATTACATCATACAATTTTAAAGCTTATCTTCTATACTCTGACTTATCAATGCAATAATTGTTATCTAGTATTAAACATCGTTAAATGTCATAAATATGTATAAGTATAGCTTTCAACCATAGCTGTTTGTACCACAGATATATATATATATATATATCTGTGGTTTGTACCGAACTATTTAACTAAATAGTTTCTTTATTATTCCTGTGTATATAAATGCTAATTAAAATTCATATTTTGAATGACCTTTTTTTTTTTTCTATGCTCAGGTCTGCTAGATTTTAATTTTATAAGAATTGGCCCTTTAGTAACCTGGAGTTGCCCATCACTGTTCTATATCAACTATAGATTTATGAACATTTTTAATTTGATCTGTTTAATTTTAAGTTAATTGTCCCATTTTACTTTATTTGTGTATTTCTCTATGTAGGATAAATACGACAGTTGAAAAACCTGAACGAAAAAGGGGTATTTTGAAATATGTATCAGAGAGAAATAAAATTTCTGCCTTCCAAATAGGTTAGATTACCTTACCTAACCACCTACAAGGATAGGATAATTGTTATAATGCCCGTTCACTGTGTAACTGCTCAACGTGATAATTTATGTCAGGCTGATCCCCTGAACTCAATGTTCATTAAATATGTGAATTCCTGAAATGTATCATAATAGAGTAAAAAAAAAAAAAAAATGATTAAAATTAATCTGGCATAAAAATTCTTCGAAATCACCAGAATAAATGTATTAACAGTTTTTCTCAGTTGTAATTATATTAAAATAAAAAAAAAAAAATAATGTTTTACATTCAAAACAATTATAAAGTCTCCTATAAGTTGTCCTCACTGGGAAAAAAACTAAAACCATTTTTGAAATTCTCATATCCCTATACATCAGAAATACTGAATAGTATAAAAATATATACTTCAACAACTAATAGGTTAAGTGGGACTTGAAAACGGGGAGGGATTTTAAATTTTTATTCAACATAATTAACATTAGGCTCTACAGAACTTGAAATGATAGTCAGTAATCATTTAGGGCACAATGTTGTACCGATACTTGTGTCATAAAACAAATAATAGTAATAATAATAACAATATTAAAATAAAAAACAAAAACCAGTTTTAATGAACAATAAATTAGTATTTATTTATTTTGTTGATTCAGTCTTGTCGTTAACATTAAACACACCTAGACAGATACTAATATGGCACTTAAATTACAATGGTTTCAATTAGTCTAAATTATTCAATAATGTATAATTTATCATACATTAGTTAACAAAATGTGTTATTAGAAAATTAACAAAATCTTAATGTAAAAAAAAAAAATTAAATTTTTAACACTTAAAATGTAAAAAAGTAAACAATGATTAGATTAATTGGGACAAATATTTATTCTTTGAACACAAAACTAAAATTAAAATGTAATCTCAACATTAAACAAAAATGTATTAATTTGGTTATAAATAACATTAAATGTATACATTATTATGAAGACATTCTATACCCTTAGATTATTAATTAATTTCACTTTTAAAAAAGTGTAAATATACACATATATTATGATAATTCATCGACCAAATAGCTTATAAAGTTATACAATTGTTATATTATTATTATAATAAATTTTATTGACATTATGTAGGTCCAATACTCAAATAAAAACTTGAATGAATTAGTCATGATGATTTAGTAAGGACTTAATGAAAAAATATGTGTATAAATATATATATATATATATAATATTATCATAGGACTTATTCAAAATCCATGACAATTATTTAAAGGTTTTGAACAATTTATTATTATTTTTGAAATAAAAATTGAAATGTAATTCATGGAACACAATTTAATTAAATATTATTTATAAGAATTTTATAGGGGAAAAAAAAACTGAAATGGCAATCTCATAAACTTTTAGGTAACCATTATACTTTTGATACATTACAAAATGGTATTAAATAATTGTTCACATTTGCTTAAAAATAAATGTTGACAATTTAATCACTCACATAAATATAATATTTATAAAAAAAAATCATAACAAATGGATAACTAAAATAAAATAAATTATTTGCTATAATAATACATAGTCATTGATACTATTATTTCTATACTCAATTATTTATGCAAAATTATTTATAAGCCTAATTATACATTTCAATCTAAAATAAATAAATATCTATTTTTGAGACATAAAACTTTGTTCCATTTTTGTAACAACTCCATTTATGACACCAATACAATGTTTGAATTGGCACATAAATTCATCGGCTTCATTTGTGCCAAAACTCTCTTCGGTTTTAGACTTCTGTAATTATATTTTACCAAGTATAAATTATTTAATATTAATATAATTTAAAATGCATGATTTCTTTAAGAATAACTCAAATCTAATGTTATCTATATAATATAATAATAAATTACCGTTCTTCTGTATTTCTTTGACTGACGCCGTTTATGTGAATCATCATTTTGTTTGTTTGATGTTATTGTACCTCTGCTTCTAGTTGAACATAAATTATACTCAACACTCTTAATAGGTGTAGAGGTATATAATTTAGCCATATCACCAGAAGAGCACAGTTTGTTATCAACTGGCATATTAATACCACTTACTAATGTATTTTCTTTAGATACTCTAGTGGAAGACATACCACAACCAGAAGAATCACTACGACATTCATGTTTATTAGGGTATTTATGATTTATCAATGGTGATATTTCTAATGAACTTAAGGACAAATCATTAGATGATATAGAATAAGAATGTGGTGATTGAAATTCAACTTCTTGGTCTGTATCCATTTCAGAAACATCAGTGCTTGCTAATGATTCTTGCCATCTCTTCACCTAAATTACAAATGTAAAAGAAATTGTAAAAGTTAATAAAATGTTACTAAATTGTAAGAAATGCGAAAATTATTATAATAATTTATTATTATTATTATTATTTTAATTTTAAAATATAAAATAAAAAATTTAAAAAAAATCCGTTTTTTTTTTGGACCTTTATAACCAAATTATATATTAAAACAGAATAGAAAATGTTTAATATTTTAATTAAAAATTATTTAGTCTATAATAATATAGTCTACAATAATGATCAATTGAAGTGTTATCATTTGCATACAAAATAAATCTAAAGTAAAAATTCATATATGAATAAATTATGTACATTCTGTAATACGAGTAATACAATATATTTGCAAATGAGTATTTATCTAATTATCAGCTACAGCAAGGTACAGAACCGTCATAATAATTATTATTAAATTAAACTTCAAAAAAATTTTATAGCAAGTAAAAAATATTTTACTTAAAAATTAAATATTTAATAAAAATATTTTTTTTTTCATTTGATCAATAACTGATTAATAAAAATACAGAAGTTGACAAACTGTACATTTATTTAGATTGTATTATGGACTATTTACTTTAATACTCATACATTATTTCATAAATTATTTATTCTAACTTTTTATTAATAAACAAATTCATAATGTATAAACGTAAACTTCCTGTTGTTACAATACAATGTTTAATGACTTTTCTTTAAAATGTTATAGCGTGGAATGTTAAGATAACACATTACACCAGAATCACAAATAACGTAATTATAACAAATAGCTAAAAATGAATAATAAGATATATTACAGTATATAATAAACATAAGATTTTGAATTTCGAAAAGACAGGATGAAAAAAAATAAAAAATGATTTACACCTTTGAAGGAATTTTTAACATCACAATAGTTTTTTAGATTGTGATCTATGTGTATTATTCGGTTAGTAAATCATAAACTATCATCAAGTCTCTAACAATATCTTATACATTTATAAGAATATACTTTAGAAAATTAATTAATTTTTGATTTTTAGCAGATTTTATAGCAAGAAGAAAATCTTGTAAGTAGAAAAAACTGTAAATATTTCACAAGAATATTTTTAACTATTTTCTAATTGCTATACACTTAATTAGGTAATTCATTATTTTGAAGAAGTTTTAAAATTTAAAATGTAACAAAACTCATTTGTATAAACTATTATTCAAAAATAATTTGAACATCTTGAATCCGAATAAAACGGTAGCATTTGCTCTTCACCTCAATAACAGGGAAGCTAATAGAAAGTTAAATATAAAAATTAATAACACAGACAGCCATACCAAATGAAGAATGTCCAAGATATTTTGGAGTAAAAATAGACAGAGATTTGACTTTTAAAAATCACTTAGGCGGGGTAAAAAATAAAATAAAGACAAGGAATAATATAATAGAAAAACTAGCGGGAACGAACTGAGGTAATAACGCAACAGTGTTACGTATATCTGCATTAGCATTGGCATACAGCGTGGCTGAATACTGTGCCCCAGTTTGGCTCAGGAGTACACACTGTAAAAAAGTGTATACGGAACTCAACCAGACCATGCGAGTAATCACCGGCAGTTATGTGCCGGTGCTAGCAAACATAGCTCCACAGGATTTACGTAGATTGATGCACGCATAACTAACAGTGAATAAGATAAAAAGCAACCCAGACCTTCCACTGTATGGAGGTATTACTAAACATCCTCAAAAGAGACTAAAGTCAAGAAACTCGATATAGGACCTTGAATTTCCGGTAGAAGCATCGTCAAAAACATGGAAGACACGCTAGTGGGACTCAGGGGTAGGAAACGTCACCTTGATTGAAAATCCAGAGTCAAGAGTCGCCCTGGTTTCTACCTCCCATGGATAGCGTGGACAAAATTAAACCGGATAAGAATTGAGCAAGGAAGATGCAAAAGCCTACTCTACAAGCGAGGAATGGAACAATCTCCCCTTTGCTCATTCGGAGCTAATCAAACGATCCGATATATTGTCGAAGAGTGGAAAAATACAAAATTTGAAGGCGGTGTGGGGAAACTGTACGAAAATAGGACAGCTACAACAAATTGGATAATGAGTCTGAATATTGCCATTATTATTAATTTTCTCGTTATTGTCAAATTCAAATTTTAAATTTTTTTTTAAATTATTACATGTTTAACTTACATGTTTTTAATGTTATTTATTTAGCTATGTTTCTTTGTTTAGTTATTGTTAATACTATTATTCAGTGTTTTATTATTATTATTATTATTATTATTATTTTTATTTGTATCTTTATCATTAGTATTAATCCTATTACATTTATATAAATTCAAATCAGCCTATAGTCATATGCGAAATAAATAAATAAAAACAATTTAGACAAAACAGATACCTATTTCAGAGTTGTGTGTTACAAGACTTAAGTTTTAACTTAAGACTGTTCAATAAGTATAATAAATGATGTTTTAAGTTTTTTTTATATATACTATAGTATAGTATATTATGTTAAAAGCAACTTTCGCTCAGGATTTTTATTTTTCCAAATGCGATGATTTATCAATGTCTTAAAAATTTTAAGTTAAAACGTATACAAATAAATACGACTAACACAACAAAGAGGATTTAGTTCCCTCGGAACCAGCATCTTAATGAAATTTGTTTCTAAAGCAATTCTTTGGAGCGACAACAACCGACATTTAGAAACATTTAGAAATTAATGAATAACGATTTGTATTCTATCTTAGAACACGTATAAATAACTAACACGAACAGTTGACAACTCTCGTATGCATACAACGTGGCTAAATGCAGTACATGCGTGTATTAATATTTCTGTCACCCCCGTATACTATACAATTTTCAATAAAATAGCTTGTTTTAATATGAGATTTTATTCATACAAACCAAAGGGGACCTGAAGGGATGTAGACTTCATCCGTTTCCGTTACGTAGGTTCAGCACACAACCAGATGGTGGCTCCAGGAATACATACGATGACAGACACGAATTGTATTTATTATTTTGAAAGGTCCATGTACACATGATAGCTTTGGAGTGCAATCTCGACGTCTATTGTTAAATTGCATATAATCGAATAAGTATAGACGATTTTTTTTATTTTTATATTTAAGATATCATATAAAGAGACGTAATTTACCGATATAAATACACTACCTTTTATAGAGGATACGTGCTTCGACATACAAACCTAACGACAATACTAATTTTTTTGTCACCAACCAAAATAGTTGTGGGTGCTTGATAAAATTAAAATAATAATTCACAGAGGATATTTAAATTGTCATTAACTTAAATATTTATTTATAAATTAATTGTTTTAAGGAAGTTTTAACAGATACAGAATATATACTAATTTCACTTGAATTGTTTTTAATGTATTATTCTTAGAATATTTTTATACACATCTTGAGGCATTTCGAAAGCTGTCATTAATGTATAAAAATAAACACATTCTGTATAAAAGTCAGTAGACAAGAAGACTACGGGAACGCTGCCAAATTAACATAAAGCCAAACGTATTATGTTACAAATGTTTCTACTAAATTAAAAAACGCATACAGGTAAGAAAGAATTGAGAATAATTGATAACTAAGATATTAAATGAATAAATGTCCAGTCACAAAACAGTTATAGACACTATTTTAATATTAAGTTCTTTTTACAGATAACTAAGTATAATTTACAAAAATATATAACTTGTCAGTTCGAAAAATCGAAAATACTTATTTTAAAGATGATGTCCCGTATGCCTTAGTAAAATATATAATACCTATATCATCTAAAATTTCTTTCTGTTAGCATTCTACAGTTAAAACTCGAATTTAACATAAATAAATTAAACTCGAAAATAAAAATAATTTAATCCTTATAGTTTAATTATACTAATGTTAATGCTTTCCATATTTCTATAAGCGAAAAATATATTTTAATATTTTATAATAATTTATTAAACTATTGTTTATATTATTTATATTTAGATATTTTTTTTGTCAGATTGCCACTAGAAAAAAACAAACATTAATATTGTTTACAATGACATTTCTTGATATTTATTTAAGGAGTAGAAAAAATATAAATAATAGTCAATTAACAATGGAGATGATTTAGTAGTAAGGTCCATATCCTAATTTCCTTATACCATGATTAATTCTGTCTGTACTAAATCTATACTTGTTTATACTAACTAATAAAAAATATTTAAAATCACAAGAAGTATTTTTAATATTTTTAAAATCAATTTTAAATATTTTTTTATAAAATTATTTTATGAAACCATAGTGTAATTTAAATGAGACATTTAAAATTAAAGTAAAATTCTACAGATAATCTTGCCAAATTGTATGAATTATTTCTCATTTATGAGTCTATAATTTATATTTTAATTAATTTTATGATATCTTTATTAAGAATACTTTTTTTACAGCTTTAAAATAAATATTGCTTGCTTAAGCTTTTCATAAACTGAATACTTTACAATTATATAAATATTAAATCAAATCAGTTTTAGAAATGTGTACTACGAAATTCAACATTAATAATTAACAATTACATGTTATTCATTGCTTATACTCAGATCAATATAAGCAAATAAAAATAAATCATTGACAATAAAGTGAACTATAATATAGAATCAAAAGGAAAACAATTAAAAACTGAATGAACGAGACTAAAGACAATCTATATCCAAAAAGATTTCATTATTATCTAGAATTTGTCTCTGACAGCTTTCATTGTATAACATACAAAGTTTAATTTCTAATGAATAATGAAATTCATTTTTCAAACTTTTATAAACAATAATAAATAATTAATTTTTCAATTTTTTATTCACAGTTTAACCATACATTTAAAACTAATACTTAAATATATTTTTTATTATCATATATTTATATTCAAAGCATAACTTTTCTAATTTATCATAATGTAACAGTTTCTATGTATTTAAAGCAGAATGTAAGTTAATTATACTTGTAAATTAAGATAAAAATATAAACTGTCACTTTTACGTTTGTTTAGTTAATAACTTCATGAATTATTTCATATTTAAAACTCACCTTTTGGATAGCAGATCGAGAATCTCTTAAGGTTTTGTAAGCATCAGCATTGGAAAAATTTATTAAATCGCCTCCAGATTTAACTTTTCTAACCTTAAGACCATTTTCTTTCTCTAGTTTAGAGTTATCTTTTCTAATTGCCGATAAAGTATTAGAAGATTTCAATTTATAACCATGTCCCCAAACTTCTTTAGGAGGTGGTATGCTATGACCTGGTGATAATTGCTCAATTAATTCATTTTCAGTAAATTTCAATACATCTCTACTAGGTTTTGCCATTCTTAAAATAATATTTGTTGCGGAATTATACTTATTTTCCATTAATTTATAATTATATTGAAGTTGTTCTATAAGCTTATTTTTTTCTAATAATTGAACTTCCAGTTTTTTTAAATTGTTCTTTAAATTCATGATTTCATCAGCCTCATTTTTAATCATTTCATCAACATATTTATCAACTTGCTGTTTTTTTACTGAAGGTTGTAAACTATATCTTGTTGCTTTACTTTTAGCTTCATTATCCTTAATATCCTTTATGTATTGTTTAACTTTACTTTCAACATGTGCATACTTTTTTTTATTTTTACCGGTCACATTCAAGCAACTACTAGAATGATGAATACCAGATTCCGTTCTAGAAGTCATGGCACTTGTTAATGTTTCTGTAGAATAAATAGCTGAATCTTCACGTAGAAGAGGTTTAAAAGATTTGATTGTTGTTAAATCAACTAAAGAATATGATTTTATTGGACCTTTATAAACATATTTCTCTAGATTTTGTTTTACGATGGGTAATATTCGAGTAGTTTCAGATTCTGATTCTGATGATGTAAATTCTACTGAACTTGCTGTTGATGTACTAAAACTAGTCAGCAATGATGGTAACGTAATATCTTCAATTAAAGTTGTTGGAGAATCAAATTCCAAGTCCATCGTGAAACGACTAAAAAAAAAAAAAAAGAAAAAAATATATATTTATAAAAAAAATTATATAAGTTATGTAAACAAGTATAATTGATTTTTTTTTATAACATTTATGACTTTTAGAATACAATTAAATACATATAATAAAAATTGTATACTTGGTAATATAAATATAAAATTAAATTTTTTAGTAAGTATTAATTCAATAAAACATCATAAGAAATCAAGTTCTACAATAAATTATCTATAAAAAATATAATAGATGTTAATTAGTTGATTTAAGATTTTTATAATTGTTATATTTCAAAGCAAATATAAAGAACAGAAGAATTTGGGAAGAGCTGCAGATTAACTGCTAGGAATTTTAATAGTCTTAGAGATTTTATGAACAATTTTATATACCTACATAGCTGTATATTGTACCAATGAATATTAATAAATTATTATTATATATAAACAATACAAAATATACTTTATAAGAAATAATAATGTCGCGTACTGCGTAGTCACATAATATAAAACACATTATAAGAGGTTCTCATGAACATCAAACTGGGCGTGTTGTCTGTTAACACATGGTTGTCTGTTTAATTGAGAATATGAATATTGGAGTCGCAGATACGTAGACAAGTGAAAGGGTTCACATAAACGTTTTCTGGGAAATTGTAATAAAATAGTTTATCGGAATGATGTGGTGACCACATCCTGTGTCCCTGCATCAGCAATTGTGTAATACACACATGTGCGGAATTGATGGGAAATTAACAATATTTTATTATCATTAGCGCACATGCACACTCACAATTCGTGGAAGTTGTCTTATTTTATTATCATTGACGCACACACACACTCACAATTTATAGGAATTATCTTATTTTATTATCTTGTTCATTTACACACACACACTTGGGATTTTACATACACACATACAATATCACATATAAAAGGGACCCGAAAACAAGGGCAAATCAGACGAGTCTTGTCTATGCTGCACTGAGCACCTTCACGTCAGTGTATGTTATGGTCTGGACTTAGAAATATTTCCAATTATTTTATAAGTTACAATTGTTAGGACTTAAATAATTTCTATCACTAGAATATTTACAAAATTTGTAGTTAGAATAATTTTTATAAGTTAAATAAATTTAATTATTTCAAAAAGAAGTCTTAATTATTCCTGACTACACTTCCACACAAGCGTTGACTGAGACGTTGTAACTGAGTTAACGGATCAAACGGTTGGCACGTAACAATAAAAACAAATGACATAAGTTTTATTTGATTAAAAGTATTTTTTGTCTATTTTTAAATATAATATGTAACATTTCTTAAGTTATCTTATCTCTGAGTGAGTCATGCTATTATTTCTTATAAGAGATTAAGACTAAATCATAATCTTTATGGATTAGAGGTAGGTTATAATCTGGCATAATTTTTTTTCTTATAATAATTTATGAAAATTTTGAGTAATATTAAATTAAATGCTTTGAATAAAAAATGTTTATTCTCGATGTATTTAAACAACAACAGAACAAATATTTATTCAAATTTAAAACCGATTTAAAAATATTTGTTTATTTAGTTAATGCGTTACACATAGTGAATATATATTTAGTTAGGTATTTTGTTTTAATTATTTAAATGGTTGTTTAAAATAAATATATTTTATAATATTAGTATAATTTACCAATTATATAACACCAAACAATAGACACAAGTATTTATATTTTACACGAAAATCAATAAGATGTCCCAAATGTTCTTTGTTAATATACACTCAAAATAACCATACAGTAATACAGTTGACAAATATACATGAACGATAAGCCAATTATAAATAAAATGCATTAATTATAAAAATCTAACTCCCTGTAAAATTGTAATATACCGTGCGCCCAAATCAAAATTAATTTGGTAGACTTAACAATGTATGTTACAAATAATCATAATAAGTCATTTTCAGCAGTGAATTTTAAAGGTAATTAAAAAAACCGAATTAGCTTATCCAAGATATTGGGAAGTCGAGCAATCTCTATCCCAACCGCCCCTTCCAATAAACACTCTAATAATTATGATTCATAACTTAATTGGTAATACGATAATTTTCTATTAACGACTTTAATTTCTTAGAGGTTTCTAAGAGTTCACTAAACTTTCCAGCCGCCCCCTACCGATAACATTATTCACTACGGATTCCGAGTGTGAACATAATCCTCCTCCGGGATACATTAGAACCAAAAGCCTTGAAATTCAGTTCAATAAAAAAAATAAAAAATTAATAATTTACAAAAATTGAGTTTATATCTGCCAGCCAATCGTTGATACGTCAGACTCAACAATTTGTACAATACCATAGTTTGGTAATAATAATAAAAATAACGAACGGTGCGACAACAGTTAGTAAGTATGTTGTTATTAAATTGATAGATGGTTTTTTTTTTTTTCTAACTATAAATTTGATGTGCGCGTCCCACACACAACACGGCGGGCCAAAACTAATTCCGCTCGAAGACCCTGAAATGTTTTTAATACGGTAACAAAAACGGCACACACGGAATAGGCAGTCAAAATTAAACCAAAATAATATCAACACTCAACCGGAGCCAGAGTTAAAAGAAATAATATTTTTATGTACACATCATTATTATTCAATAACAGTAATCGATAACTAAGCGATCGCTTATACTGTAGTGAAAACGACGGCGACAACAAACGGAAGTGATCACATCGGGTTTTATGGAAACGAGAGCAAATAAAATTGGATTCACGCGTCAATAAAAACCGAATCGGTCGTTATAGAGTACAAACATTATTATGTTGTATTATACATGTTAACGTGATCGTTTTCACAGAGCAACGGCAGTCAGTGTTCGTTTCTTTTTCTTCAGATCGGCTAGCGCAGGAAAACGTAGTAGGTACCCGACGTTGACACTAATCATTTGTTACGTGTGTTCCTGTATCCGAGTGGAATTCAAAAACAGCGTTTGTACAACGTAACAGTTTGTTATCGTCCCAAATAGTTGCGCGAAACGCTCTGCTATTGCAAAAATGAACAGCCGAGCGTAGATAACCGTTCACGTATTTCACCGAACACGAATATCATGTGAACGCGTAGCGAGCGCGCGGTGGTCGTTACGAAGAGCAGCTGCAACAGTTCGTACCGTTCCGGATAGCATAATATTGATATTGCGCACACGCAAGTTTGCGAGTGTTGCACGTCGAAACGATTATTAATCTTTGCGCGCGTATCGACGCCGTAACAGCAATAACGCGTTACGATTAGCGTTGTTTCGGGGGGGCGTATGATTTTTACCTGTATCCAGTACCGGTGGATTCGTGGTGAACACAAGTGCACGTCGACTGCGGTCGATGCGCGAACGAATTCAAAACGACCGTTTTCCCCGGCGCTTGGATTGTACTGTCGCGTACCGATCGGTTGGCGGTGCCTATTGCACGGAGATCGCGGCCGCCAGAAGAGCACCGCGACGAGGGCAAACGTCACGCGGTCGATCGGTGCGCAGGAAGAACTCGGGTGGGCGCGTGTATGCGTCGTCGCGATCGAAAACGTCACGCGAGAAGACGGACCGCGATGCGTGAGTGATGCCGACAGGAGTGCGGACGACTGACTGAGGACTGTGGTGATACGCGCACAGCGTGGCGGTCGGAAGAGACGAATACGTGCGGCGGCGGAAAAGACGATTTTGGCAATAACGCGGGACCGTTTCTCGGTCTCGCGATCTATATTAATAACGTGTAGTATCGCTACGTGCCACCGGTGCCGCTTCCGCGGCGACGATGGCGCGCGATACTGCGTCGGAAGGAAAAACTAGAACGCGGTGGCGGTGTGCGGGTCTCTCATTCTACCTTGTTCACTCGCTCGCTCGCTCTCTCTCTCTCTTTCACCCGTCCGTGTGTTTCGTTCAGCGGATGACTACTTTCGTGCGTGGTACGGTATTACGGGAGGATATCTCACGAAAACACGCGGAAACAATAATGATTGTATTTATTATGTGTAGGCTTACGGACTTATAGCTCTAAAAAATACGCAAATATGCTTCTAAAATCATTAAAATATGCATTTATATGCATTAAAAAAAAAATGACCAGATAGTACACAAAATAAAACGTGTCCATCGGATTTAAATATATTTTTAAACACTGAAATTAAACTTTGTAGTCGGCTACTCGTAAACTGTTGTACTTTCGGCATAACATAATGTAACAAATTATCGCGTACGACGTTTTACGTAGGATTCGACGTTGTGTGGTTGAGAGACGCGAAAACAACGACGGATAATAATCGACTGAACACTAAACAAATAATCTATTATTATTATTATTATTATTGTTATTACTATTATTATCTTTATCAACATCCGGTCAATATCCAGCGGGTTATACGGTTGATACGGGTTTATTGTATTATCATTGATTATAAATACTAGTATTTATAATCAATGGTATTATTTATACTTACACAAAAATTATAACGAGATATGAGAGGTAGTTTGCAGATAGCGTATTACTGGAAGTATTAAGTCCTTTTAGTACATTTTTTTTCGATCGGTTGAAATATGTATATATAGTTATATGTATCTATAGTTTTTAATTTTAAATAATAAAATTTGAGAAATTTGTCAAAATATGCAAAATAAACATAATAATATTAAAATAAGCATTTTCCTGCAAAATCTATTAAATATGTAAAAATATGCTCATTCAAATTTTAGATCTGATATCATGGCACCGAGAAACGAATTTGTTTCGCACTCTGCTATATTAAGCAATAATTAAAAAAAGTATGCAAATGCTAGAAATCTCTAAGCCTAATTATGTGTACGGTGTACACACGATAACAATTTATGATTTTCGTGTGTTGCAGACGGCGATTTTCAACTTGCAGTCACGTTACCGGTAATATAATTCTATTTTCAGCAATCCTCCCGAACTCCAAAGGATCGGATTAAAAACTGATTTCATATTGCACACGTTGGACCCGAAAGTTAACACGAATTTAAGTTTGACAACTGAATGCACCACGAGAATGACAGTAACAATTGACATAACCAATTCCCCAGTGGTGCATACAGGGGGGGGGTAAGAGGTCATAACCCCCCCGAAATGTATTCCTTCATTCAATTTTAACCTTACCTAACTAAGTTTTACAAACGATTTTACCAACAAGATTGACATTACATTTTTTAAAATTATACTATAATGCATACATTATTCTATTATAACAAGTTAACAATTTTCATTAAGTTTTCGTTGACCTTATAAACTATTCATGATAAATTAAGAAGTTATAAGTATACAGAATAATGATGTTAGGGGTTTATTTTCCATGTACAAATATAAATAGTATATACTTTTTTTGTACAGCATTAAACAATATGTTTGCATAGGGTTAACATTAATGTAACATTAGATACAAAATTAATTATCATAGTAAATTATTAATAGCAAACCCCCCACCCGAAAAAAATCCTATGTGCGCTACTGCAATACGCAGGGCCCTATTTATAAGGGACATATGAGTATTTGTCCAAAGCCCATGTGGATCAGGGGTCCACCAACTGGATTTAACAATTATTTTAATTTTAATTAATCCTTAAAATTCTAGTCTAATTATATCAACAAATTATAAAAATACAATAACTACTCCATTTAATCACATTCAATTTATTAAAAATATCCAAATATCTTATACGTTTTAAAATGTAGAAACATGTTTACTTATATTTTTGACAATGTCAGTAACTAATTGTACTGGTGAAAGATCCTTTTCAGTACTCAAAAGAATTAAAAATAGATTAAGATCATCTCTGAGTCAAGAAATTTTGGATGCCCTAGGAATCTTATCCATTGAAAATGACATCACTGCAAGCATTAATTTCGATGAAGTTATATTATAAAGTTATGCATTTGCAGAAAAAAAGGCTAGCAATTTTTTTTTTTTTAAATTCTGAAGATTTTGTAGTATCTACATTCGAATGCTTACTGTTTAATTTACTTTTAAGAACATTTTTTTTTTGTTTTAAATTATGAATATTTTGTAAAAAAATATCTACATTCTAATATTGTTTTATTTGCTATTAAATATCGACTGGTTATTATATTTACTAATTATAATTTAAATTACAATTCATAAAAATAGACAAACTTTTTCTTTTTGACCCGGGCCTAAAAAATTCTAAATCAGGCTCTGCTTATAAGTATAGGTATTTTTGAGAGTTGCAGCTTGTTTAACCCTCAACTTGAACACTTCATTTAATAAAATAATTTCGTGATTCCCGATTTGCTATGAAAACAACGGAAACAATAATAAGACCCCGAAAACGTATATGTCCGTGGTGGTTGGACTTGTGTACCTACATCGTGTGCGGCCTGTGTGTTTATTTGTACGACGGATGCACGTGTGCACGTCATTATAGTGATATGAGCCGGAACGCCCGGAACAGCTCGTCTCGTTCATGGTTCATTGGATCGCATTAATAATTGTAGTTGCTTAGAAACATCATAGTATGGTTATACGTTCTTTAAAATTATTTTTGTAATCAAGCAGCCGCTTGAACAGACTTGTAAATAGACAAAGTATTTTCTTCGGTCTTTTCGTCAAATATTCTAATTTTTCAATATTGGGTAAAATATTCAGACCATAACACATTAATTGTATTGTTTTATCGAAAGTCACACGAATAGAATACGAGTATGCATTATTTTTGATATTAAATAAACCATAATGGCTTATTGTCTTTTTCCAATAGATACTCTCCGAGCCCAATACTATCAGATTGATGGTTGTAAGTTTGAACACAATAATTAAACTAAACACGGTTGATGAAAATCCGCAAAAATATATTATAGTATTTCCAGGAGGCTTCGAGTCCTACTTTAGTTCTGTAACAATCAGGATTAAAACATGTAATTATTGTCTATTATATTGGATACATCTGCCTGCAGGCATGGCGCTCGGGTATGGGCATTTCCCCCTAGCTTTTCAGACATTTTTTTTTAAATTTAATGTTTTAAAATAAATTATACTATTTATTATACAACAAATTGAAAATGGTTGTATGAATAAAAAGTCACCATAATAAAACATTAAATTGGACATTATTTGTAGTTGATCAGTTTATTTTTAGATCATGCCTCTCTTTAATTTCCTACATAATATCCTCTATCATATAATATCTATATAGGTATATCTACCTAATTCTATCTTATGTTCCTGAAATTCATAGTACGGTTTGAACAATAAAAGATTATATAATATAATTTTTCTCAAGAGAGTCCTATAAGAAGAAAAAAAATAAAAAGGATTCCAAAAATTTATCTATTATGCGAAACGCATTGGACAACCAAGTAAAAGAATATAAAAAAAAAACATTAACATAATATTGGAAACGTTGCTGAAACTATTTGAAAATGACATAAACTGCAATACAAAAAATCGTGCTTTTCATTTATATAATTCGTGTAGTGATTCAATATTTTTGGTTTATTTGTTATGGCTGAATATACTTCATGTTGGAATCAGTTGCTAATGTACTTCAAGGAGTTAATCAGAATCTATTGACTATAAAAAAACAAATACTTACGCTTACTCATATATTTCAACATTTAGAGTCTGCAAATGTTTCTTCTAATATTCTTTGGGGTAAAATGGAAATTAATTACGGAGGGTTAAAATTTGATTACGCTCTACCATAACAGACGAAAAACTAAATGCTTTAGGCAAGATGAATATACCTACTTAAAATATATAACTAATGACTTAATTAGTAATAATAAATTTTATGCTGACATTTTTATCGATTCGGAAATGATGCGGGACGTTTAAAATTTCTTTTAATCGATAAAGAGGAGAATAAAAGGAATAAAGAGAATCATTAAAGTTATATGTACCCATACATTTAAGTTATAACTTAATAAAATATTTATCTTTATATATCATTAAAACGTGAGGCGATTTTTTGGACACCTATAAATGAAGTTCTACTGGACCGATTTTCATGATTTTTTTTTTTTCGAATACATTTGCTCGGTGGGCAGATGAGACATCTGAGAAGAGTCCGAAAATTAGTTAGTAAATAAAATAGTTTATTAGGAAATTGTTTATTTAGTTCTGTAGCATATTTAATATTTGGTACGCAAGAAAAACATCGAGGTATTCGAGTAAAAGTTGTTAACTTGGTGATAAATTATTGGGAAATGTATAAAAATTTGTCATTGGTGATATTTCGTATGGATTACCAATTTATAATTATAATGATTACAAACATTGTAACATTGTATGAGCAGAGATGGCGAGTATGCTGGTCACGTCGAACTTGAATGCATAAGTCGAGTTTATCCAAATAATACGTTTTGTGTGTATAGATCTAATGATCTTACTGAATTTTTAGATTATGTTGAGGTGTTATAAAATGTAATTTACTTTTTTCTGGACTTGTTTACACAGGACATTATAGTGTTTTAGTTTTTGGTAATAATATCATACGAATATTCTAAATTAATTTATTCTACCTAAAGAAATAAATGCAAACACTAAAATCAAGCGTAATAAACATTCTTTAACTGGAAGACGTTAAAGAAAAAACGTAATGAAAATCGTTTAAACCAAAAAAACAAAATACATTACCATTATCTTTTCAACGTGATATTATAAAATGTACGAGTTTTGAGAATACAAAAGTTCCTAACGCATATTTTATCGGTGAACCTGGAGGTATAGGGAAAACGTAAGTCTATAGATACTTCATTAACAAATGTTTAAAAATGGGTTATGATAGAATTCCGGTTTCTTGGACTGGAATAGCAAC